TTCGTGACACACCAACTTTCTAAAACAGACAGAAGAACTGACTTGACTGAATTGGTGGTGTTCAAAATCCGGATGTTGTTGACGCTTTATGGTGAGTGGTGTGCAAAAGATCTCCACAATGTTTTCAGATTAGTGAAGGCCTGTCTTGCTGTCTTTCCGATCGTGGCTTTGAAATATTCATCTGTACCTATGCCGCCTGTAGTTGGAACGACGCTGCCTAGGAAGGTAGGTAGGTGAAAGAGACTAATTCCTTTACGTTTCTCCCGCTGATGGTGATTGGTGCTTGTTTTTGATGCCGTTGTTGTTGCTGTTGTCAGTTGGATATCTTCATCACCCCCGTCTTCTGTACGTTCAGTTGAAATCCTGAATTCCTGTGCTACCCTGCCTTTTCTGTCAACTTGTCAGCTTTCGCCTGTAGATCTTCGAGTTTGTGTGACATTAGACATAAATCATCATGGGGGAAGTCCAAATCTTTTAGGTTCTTTTCATCGGCGCAGCCAGCGTATTTCCATCTTCTCACAGCTCCTCACGGTTTGCTGTATGATCCAATCCAGTCGACCACAATCAGGAGGATTATGGGTGATGGTAGGCATCAACCTTGTCTTACTCCTGTCTTCACTTCACTCGAAAGGCATCACTGAGCTTCCCATCGTGAATTACTTGTCGTGTGGCGTCTTCATATAGTTGTTGAATGAGGTTGATAGAGATTTGTGGCACTAAGACCGTAGTATTGAAGCAACAGCCTGCCAAATTATATCTCGGTCGACGCTGTCGAAGGCCTTCACAAAATCGATGAAGTTGAGTTGACTGCCATTCTGTGCTCTGTTCTATGATGATGTGTAGCGTAGTGTTGCAATTTGATCGGCACATGATTTGTTCTCCCTGAAGTCAGCCAGCCTGCCTGCCTGACAGCCTACCTGTTCCGGTCGTAATTTTGAGTCCAGCGCATCTTTTGGTCTCTCCAGGATGCTGTGGAAGAATATTTTGCTTGCTTTGGGTGGAGAGTAGTGGAGCATGATTCCGCTCCAGTTCTTGCAAAGGCTTTGGTCTCCCTTCTTTTGGAGTTTGACAAGGTAGCCCTTCTTCTAATCGATCAGCAAGTACCTTTCCTTACTTTCTTCCTTACAAACCTTCTGCAGTGGTGGTATGCTGTGAGCATGTCTGCTGTTGTCTCTGCGTCTGTTTTCAGTGCTTTTAGCGGAATTCCATCTGGGCCTGCTGCTTTCCCTCATCTCAGCAGCTTGATGGCATTCTGAACTTCTGCCTTGGTCGGAGGGCCTGTTTTCACTTGTAGTTCTTCCTTTGCTGGTAAAATTTACGGACGAGTTGCAGATGGTGGTTATGGTGTTGGTTGATTCAAGAGTTTTTTGAATTGTTCAGCCCATCGTTTACTTTGTTTCCCGTCTTCGATGGTAACTAGCTTTCCCTCCTTATCTTTCCTTGGTTTCACCTGTGTTGATCTCTCCCTTCTCAGATGAGAGTAACCTGGTTGTTTGATATAGAGTTGTCTGGTCTCTCCTATCAGCCGTCCGTTCAGTTTCGCTTGCAAATGTTTCGTGGAAGTGTCTTTTGTCTTTTCACGAACTCCTCCTCACTTCTTTGTTCCGTGCAGTGTTTTATACGTTGTAGTCAGTTCCTCTTCTCATTGTGCACCTCTGCTCTCGTTCATCTTCTGCTTCACCATTTTCCTCTCCCGGCTGTATCAGCTTCCATGTGTCCGTCAAGATCCATTTCTTGTCTTGTTTCCTCTTTCTTCCTAACACGGTTAAGCAGGTTTCTTTCCACATAGCTTTCAAAGAGTTCCAGTCTTCTTCCACGCAGGTTCCCTCACGAATGTTGCTCAATGTCTCTCATTTTGTTTTTATGGCTGACGTGAAGATGTGCTGCGTAGTTTTGTCCTTCAGTGCAGTTTCTATTCTGTGTGTTCAACTTGAACTGTGGTCTATCACCAACTTCTGTGAAGGCTTTCAACTTCATTTGGAAGGCATTTTCCTTGCACTAGATACTAGATAGTGGTGTGAACCTACATCTGCCCAGCCCCACCCATTCTTGATCTGATCTTTTGTCCATCAATCAGGCCAGCTGCGTCTCCATTTTCTTCACATTGAGATGAAGTCGATCCGACTTTTAATGCAGTGTGTCCTGGTGAAACCAAATCCATGTCGCTCACTTCATAAATATCCTTGTGTTTGTACACACTACCAGGTCGTTGAATGCTCATAAATCTGCAAACAGTTCTTCATTCTCATTCATTTCACAAGTGAGTGCCTCTCGACCCATGGTTAGTTCTCTTCCTGTGTTGTACGCTCTCAGTTTGGCATTCATGTCACCTCACCCATTAGAATTTTGATGTCGCCAACTGGCGTAGGGTCTTGTCCAGTACTGATTCCAGTTGTCTACAGAATTTCTCTTTCGTCTCTTGATCTGCATTATTTGTGGGTGCGTGTTGTAACGTAGAATTGTATGATTGTGACTTTCCTTCCTTTTAAGTTGAATCCATCTTGCTATCATGATCCTGATAGTGGAGGAGATTGGTTCCAACTGCATGAGAGTGAGCCTTCGATGCTTTTCAAGGGGACATGATGATAACTATTCCGAAATTCAGTGTGCTCGTGGTTGTCGTCTGGGTGATAGTGTTGGAGTAGATTATTGACTCTCCAGTTGACAGAGTCCACTTTCATTCCACCTGCTTTTGCAGATTCCTAGCACCTCTATGCTATACCTTCTCATGTCTTTTGCAATCTGGGCAGCCTTGCTAGGTTCATACATGGTGCGGACATTCAATGTCCCCATTCCTACTTTTGCTTTCATCGAGAGAAGCGAAGACACACCGGTCAATTGGCTTCCCGAAGGCTTTCACCAACTGGCATCATGTCGTCTCTTCGATTCCAGCGTGGACTACGTTTATGTTTTATATTTTGTCTGTGCTTTGAAGTTTCTTTAGGGGTTAGATTGGTTTTTTACGGGGTAGGGTTGATAGCCCTATGCCCAACCTTCCCTCTTTATCCGGGCTCACGATCGGTTAGTAACTAGTGAACTAGTTAATGATGCGAATTGGCACATATTCATGTTAGCCTACTGTTTGAAACATAACCACCTGAATTTGTCAAAAAATACATAGGGAACCTTGAGAAAATTATGGACGGTGGTTGCTAAGATCTGTTGTATCAGCAGACAGAAACGATGAGTGACTTTAGAGACCATCTTGACAAAGGCCAAGATAGCTAACTCGTTTATAGAAAACTACCTTCCTAACAGAATCACCGAAACTTGAATGCTTATTTCAGCAGCTATTGGGCTTCCAAAATATACTTTGGCAAATGTAAATAATTATGTGCGCCACCTTCTTGGTTGGTTCAATGCCATAGTCGCTTGTCGTTTATTCCTTCTGGTCATCTGGTCTCCATCTTCATTATCGAGCGTAGGCAGCTACTGATGAATGTCCCTACTTTGTTGGAAATGCTTTTCGTAACGCACCAAGTCTCCCAACCATCTCATAGAAACACTGACTTACTTGACTGACTTAGTGTTGAAAATCCGGATCTTGTCCACGTTTTATGCTGAGTGCAGTGCAGTAGATCTCCACACTGATTTCAGATTAATGAAGAAAGGCCTGCCTTGCTGTCTTTCCGATCCTGCCTGGCTTTGACGTCTTCAACTGTGCCATTTGTGGTTGAGACGATGCTGCCGAGTTAGGTAGGTGAAAGAGACTACTTCTTTTAGGTTTTTCTCTCGTTGATAGTGATTGGTGCTTGTTGTTGGTGGTGGCGGTGGTTGGGCATCTTCATCACCTCTGTCTTCTCTCCATTCATCTGAAGGAAGTCCCGTCTTCCGTCGCTACCCTGCCTCTTCTGTCAACTTATCAATCAACTTTGTAGTAGTGAACATATGTCATGACGTTGAATTCATTCAGAATTTCAACAATTCTGTTTTTCCTCATTAAATATTGTTAATTAGCACCATTATATGTATGAATATATATATATATTCGAAAAGTGGTGTGTAATCAGTAAACTGAACTGATACAATGTCACATACTAACAACTCTGTACTGTAGACAAAATCATTATTAATTATTACTATTCATATCATTATTATTCATAAAAACCTTATTCTTTTCAACAGATGGTTGTTTGTTTCCAGCAACCTATTCTTTCCATACTTCATAATAAATCTTTAAGGATATCCATTCTCCCTTGGAGACACTTCTTAATGAAGCCAACTTCTTTATCTGCCATGTCCATAGATGAATGTTGGTGTGTATGAATGTGTGAAACTGCGTGCAGAGCTATGACCAGTCGAGATGTTATATAAATTTCTTATCTTATTAGGAATGACTAATATTGATTTAGCTAAGATTCTGTACTCCGTTATTCTAATCGACCCTAGTTGACTACTTTGACTGACCTATGAAGTATTTGGCCTGGCAATCATTGCAAGGGATTTGGTGAGTCAGACTGTTTTACTTAATTGTAGCGATAGAAATCTTTTAACCTACAAAGCTTGTTTCTAAGCAAGTTGCTTGGTTTAAATGGTACTTAAATCCCAGCCAGCCAGCTGGCCTCATTCAGAATTCTTCGTAACGCTTCCCAGGTACCTTCCTTCTATGGTAACTCAGCAGAGGTGTTGAATTCTCTCTCAACCCTATCACCATTATTACTAATAGTAGTAGAATTATTATTATTATTAGTCATAATATTAATAATATAACTAGTCATATTTCTCTGTATGTAGACTCGAAATTCGCTTCGATTCAGTGGAAAATATAATCCTTACAGAGAACTGGTAGGGAGTATAATAAATACACCAATGACAGATTGTGGCTATCAGCAGAATCCAGGATGCGCCTTTCGTCCTGTTTCGCACTCATCAGCTGGATGCACCAGCTACACACAAACAACGATGTTGATTCCATTAAGATTCGAACCAGTGACGGATCGCATCAAACGTCACAGCGTTATCCATTTCTTGTGCTACGGGCATACAGATAACAATAGTATAATACACTAACAACTGTATTTACCCGTCGGTTATTTATTTATTTATTATTCATAAGGAAATCATCATAATTTAATTGCACCAAAGTGTTTCAACTTCATGAAATCTTCACCAGCAATAAAACATTCGCATCCCAGAAGCACAAATTCCAAGATGATACAATAATATAACACACACACACACACGCACACACACATGGAAAGTGATAAATAAATGACGTAGAGGTTAGTTATGTGATCGATGAACATGTCACCGAATACTAACAGTAGGAATGAGGAGACTATGACAATGAGGAAGTAAAAATGACAAAAGAACCTCGTATATAATAAGTTTACAAAACATTGAATAAAAAAAGTGAACGGCAATAGAGAAGAAGAAGAAGAAGAAGAAGAAGAGGATAGAGACATGAAACAAAAAGGATAGCTAACACCGGTGTATTTATTCCGAATTTGAGACAACACGTCCAATCAACATATCATAAAACATAAAGCATTAGTCTTCTCAGAGTAAATCAAGTTCGCCTAGATCTCTTTAAATGTCATCGACCAAGCACCACGTCGCTGAAGTACACAACGCAGAATTTTCTATTTTAGAAAAAACCGGCACAAAACAAAAGAAATGATCTCGAACTATAACATACATGAATGTATAAATTAAAGGATATTACAAGGATATTACTATTCATACTACTAATGCAAATAATAACAGTAGTAGGTTTTTGCTTACTTCACCGTAGATTTTCATTCTCAATCGATTAACACGTAACTGAGCCAATTTACTCTCTTCTATATACTGTTGATTTTGTAAATAATTTTGACAGATTCTATGAAAAACAATTGAAAAATACAACACACAACGTTGATTATACAACTAGAAGGTCAACTCCTCAATAATAAGAGAATATAGAAGTAGTATTCATCATGGACTGACATCAGTTGGGGAACCATTGAAAATCTGGGAGCACTAGATGGTTAACGCGTTTGCCGTGAAACCTGAAGGTCCTGAGTGCGACCCCTAGTCGGGTAGTGGGTGCGTACTCCCGAGGAGTCCCATACTAGGACGAAACAGCTGTACAGTGCTCCCAGATTTTCAATGGTTCCCCAACTGATGTCAGTCCATGATGAATACTACTTCTAAATTAAAAATCCCCACTCATCTTAAAAAATAAGAGAATAGTTAAGAGAGAAATGAATAGAATGTCTAAGGTAGATTATAATGATTGTACGTTCTTCTTTAAACAACAACAACAACAACAACCATAAAAGACACTGTTCAGAGATGTGTTTATTAAATATAGCACGCTTATGTAGCCTATGTGACTAGATACACACACTTTCAAAACAGTTGTCAACTGAAGAAAACAACTCAAAGATAGACAGAAAAGAAGATCTTCTTCATTGCCCTGGCTAATCGATTCTTCAGTATCTGTGCATATGCAACTCTTCTGGAAGCAATATTATTGAACATTGTTTTCTTTGGAACCGTTAGACAGTTCCTCTTTGAAATACTTAGGCATGTAACCTTGACGTGATGGTTGGACATGGATATCACAATCACCTAAACAGCTATGCTGGTGGAACGTTAGTTTTGCTCAACATCCTACTATGCCTGAAAGGTCATTTGGATAGTAGCAAGATGAAAAGTGGTGACTGTTGAAATGTGAATTGCCACATTATTATAGATAATGGAGATCGAATTTGTACTGCTACTATCTGGGTGAAGTGTGACAGAAGTAGAATATTACCCATGGATGGAAATCAGTGTAATATGTATGTTGTCTTCTCAATAGGAATGGAGGATTGGAAAAGGTTGGTCACAAAATCAATACACATTACTTATTTAACCACAGTCTTCCGATGCCGGCGGTATGGCTTCTATCTGTTCGGCGATTTAACAACTATACTTGAAAACACCATCCTACAGAAAGAAGAGTTTGAAAGGCCACAACCACATGTATCATGGGCTCTGTGGTCACAAAAAACTTCCCTCTGGAGACGCAATCTCTAGCAGAAACAGACTTCCGCAGTTCTAGCAGTTTAGAACTGTCAATTGCCCACACGCATTGCATAGTATATACGACTCAGTCAGACAAAAACTTCACGTCTTAAAGCTCATATTAAGCCATTCATGCCGTCATCGGACTCTCAGTTTGCAATCAGTGTGGTTATTTAATTGACCTCATCTCACCATTGTAGTGAATCTTCAAAATTCACCTACCTATCCGGAGACACAATGACTAGCTATCATGGACTCACTAGTGTAGACATTACACCGAAACATAGATCTGAAAAAGCTCTCGCTGACTGGTTTCCAATCAACAGCCATTTATCTCCTGTCCCACTAAATGAATCTGTAACAACTAGGAAGGATAGTGGACCCAATACGACACATATTCGTGATCTCCATCCACGCATGCATTGACTGTAGTTCGATGGATGCAGAGGATGAATTCAATGAAAAGCTATCAACATTGTTACAGAAAACAAAGCGTTAACATGTGGTCATAATGACCAATGACTTTAATGTAATAGTAATTCTGTTAGCCAGAACAAATTTAATAATTTCACCAAATAAAACATCACATTGACCATGCTATCGCATCATTATTTATTTCTTCATTCTACATCACTTCGAATCCTGTCACATAGCCTAATCAATAAAGTTTCATATGTTATTACTTATGATTATCCTTTGCTCTTCTAAATAGTTGAAGTGATCAACCTTTGTTAGCGTATTGAGGCTCCCCTATATCAATGCCGCGATACTGCCTTATTATTCACGATGGCAGAGTTTTGGTGGTTGACACCTTTCGGCTACTGTCATTGCCTTCTTAAAGCACCTGGAAAAGAAAACGATTTGTGTGATTGCAGACCCCACTAGACATCTACAGCACCAATGTGGCACTCCTAGTCATCTAACGGAAATATCTTATTTCTGTCAACGTCCACCCCACCCAATCATAAGCAGTATAACTTCACTCTCCAATCCCCATCATAATATGATAACTTACACTATAACAGTGACTGTTTTTCATCCTACCACAATCCAAACAACCGCTGTGGTATGGTAGAATGTCGACAGAACAAAACTTCCAGCTTCACCACCACATCAAGTTAGTATCAATCGTCTTCTAAAGCCTGATTATTAACACCAACCTTTTTCATTCAAATTGCTTATTATCTGGAACTACTTTACCTTCTCTGGTACCACTTCTCTTCCATACACGAAGATAACTTACTAGTAATATCAGCCCCTTCAAGTTTGTAGATATGGCCTACTGAAAATTTTCAACAAACAAGAAATCAAAGTCACATGAAACCTCGTATAAGATGCCTCATCACAATATCGCTTCCGATTTCATTTCGATGTGAAGGAGTGCACAGACAGTCACCTTCTTAACTCCATAACATAGTGGATAACGCTCTTAAGTTTCAAACAATGAGTATTTCATTCACATCTCATTAGAAGGCAAAGTGTAACCACCTGAAGAGTCCCAAGTAGGAAGAAATGAACATACTGGATTCCACTGCCAACCGATATCAATCAGTAATAATAATAATAGATGTGAAATAATCTATTGTGGGTAAAATTATCATGAAGACATAATTACAACACTAAAGATGTCAAAACATGAATTGTAGTATTATTGATTGTTGATTCAACAATCACTTACTTAGATTTACGATCCCGTTTCACTGTTTGTCTTCTACCAGTAGATTGACCAGTGACAGCAGATCCCTGACTTGGAACTGTAAATGTTAAGTGAAAGAGAGAGAAGTAGAAGAAGAAAGAGGAGAACCATAACAATACCAATGACACTGTTCAACAACTCTTCCACGGAGGCAAAATAGAATTACCCACATGATTTGTTCAACCAACGGGAGGTGTTAAAGCATTGGACTGTAATTATATGGACTAGTTTGAGATTTCGTATTACAATTTGAAGAAATCCACCTCGAAACAACCTGGGCGATGCAAAGTCCACAATGATCGTTGAATGGATCATTCTACAGGTCACAACTGTTCAACAATTCCAGTGGTTCTCCAATTAATGTCGTTCCATGGTGAAATTTTATTTCAGAAATCCATAAATTTTCCATACAACCCTTCAGCTCAAAACTCTACTTTGGACGTAAGTTACTAACTATCTTTACCGATGTTTCTACAACCGACCTAACGTTAAGCCTCGTTTCTTCAGGATGAGCGCTGCTATCCAATTCAGATAAATACTCAGCTAACTCCCCAGAAAATAAATTAATTCGTATCTTTAACTCCCGATCCACCGTAGACAGGCTTCGCATTCACCTGTTGCTTGCAGTCAGCAAGTTGCAGACATATACGACTATGTACTAACGCATGACTGTAGTTCAAACTGGTACTCCAGAAATAGAAGCAACGCTCCAACGATCCTCTACAACGATGGCTTAAAGCAATGTGATCTATGTGTGCCCATCGTTGATTTTTAGCCGGGGTATACCATGTGAGACAGTGTCCGTTTCTGATTGGTTCAACTTCCTTACCTCAGCGATAGTGACATCGACCACCATGACCACATGTTAACGCTTTGTTTTCTGTAACAATGTTGATAGCTTTTCATTGAATTCATCCTCTGCATCCATCGAACTACAGTCAATGGATGTGTGGATGGAGATCACAAATACGTGTCGTATTGGGTCCACTATCCTTCCTAGTTGTTACAGATTCATTTAGTGGGACAGGAGATAAATGGCTGTTGATTGGAAGCCAGTCAGCGAGAGCTCTTTAAGATCTATGTTTTAGTGTAATGTCTACACTAGTGAGTCCATGATAGCTAGTCATTGTGTCTCCGGATAGGTAGGTGAATTTTGAAGATTCACTACAATGGTGAGATGAGGTCAATTTAATAACCGCAATCGGATATTGCATACCTGTCTCAAAGACGCAGGATATATCCATGCCTATAGATTCCAGAGTTTTGGAGAGTGACGCCTGTTGTTCGATTTGGTGCAGAGCTCGAATATTGAAAGTCTTTCTACATGAAATTGATGGTGGGTTCCTAGGAGAGAAGGAATGATGTTAGGATGGCTTTGATTGTCGACGCTGGCTGCAGGATGATAGGTGGAGGAAGTTATCACAGGCCTAACTTTAGCATCAGGAAGTGTAAGCAAGCAAGGTCATTAAGGCAAAAAAGGTTAATTGTGTTTGATTGGGTTTTGTCTAGTACTGTGAAAAAATGTGGTCGGTTGACTGTTCCTGAGTGACCACACTGTAGAAGGCTGCTTCTACAAAGTAAGTGAGGGAAAAGGAGTTAAACGTGTCACAAAATCTGCAAGCCAGACAGGCGTGTCCTATTCTGAGTGTTAGCTTTATTCCTGTAGTGAAGGCATTGTACTGCTGATCATTCATGTGTAGAACTTTACCACTGATAAACCTCGCTCAACAAGCAGAACCATTTCACTCTTCGACAGCAATTTACACTAAAACCTAAACTGAGTTTCATCTTATCGATGTTAGTCGTTGGTTCATTGTGATACGGAAACCCGACCACCAAGTCAAATTATCGGTCAGGTCAGCAACTCCATGTAACAGGAGTTTATCACCTGCGTACTCTACCTCTACCTACCAGGGAGTCTCAATCCCACTATAATCAGACGAGGGGAAGGAGATCTCCATAGGTATATCTAAGAAAAAGCAAAATGAGAACGGAAAGAACGAATATCCTTGACAGACCTCATTTCACACAAAAAAAACTCGTCTGATAACTCACTATAGGCTCTGTCACCCTTACAGATGTTTCAATAAGGAGACACTGCAATAAGAGTACGTGATCGAAACAGTTGAATGTCATCTTCATTTGGTTAATTAACTCTGGTCACTGTACTCCAAAGAGAGTTTCCCTCTCAAATTCAATTTATAAAGTGAAGTCGAACATTTCAAAGGGAGTATGAGTATTCGTCACCTCTCAACACTACAGAAGAGGCTTCAACAATTCAGCGTTACAAGCCTGATCTTTGCGTGGAAAAGAGATACATTCAGTCGTCAATTCTATCATGAAGAAAATATTTTCCTCTTTGAATTGCCGCTTGTTAACACTTTGATTTTTAAGGCGATGTGTGCTGTGTCCAAGCCTCAGTGGGGTGGGGAGGGGAATAGATAGGAAGTGGCCTATATCAAAATCAATAGTCATAGTCATCAACCGCTGAGGTAGAAGTTTTGTATTTCAACTTTTTATGTTACTGTGTGGTCAGGATAAAGAACCTTATTAAATAAATTTTCCTACAGTTGAGTAATCAAAATGAATGTCCAACTGCTAAACTGGTGATTTAATATGTTCAAGGAACTATAAGGTGAGGTCAGTTGGGAAACGTCAACCATCCTCACGTTGCCAGTAATACTTGGAACGCAATCAAATAAACAAACTGTTCAGATTGTGACGGTAATTGCTCGACTATTCACTTAAACACACCAACCGTCAGGTATGGCAAAACCTCAATTAGCCATCATTCCAACCAGCAAAGCTCATTGAATGATAGCGAAGTGCAAAACGCACCGACTGCTACGTCAAGCTAGTAGGCATCAGTCATGTGGTATGTATCAGAATTGGTTGCATAACTCAAGCATTTAGATGAAAACAAAATGAGGAAAGAAAAACCCATTGTTCTCTACTATGTTATTCTCACATTACATATGCTCTTGTTCCTCAGATCAAAGCAGTTTCAATCTCTTGAACATTACTGCTTTGGACAATATGTCAGACTAACTCACATATACCTACTTCTGTGATACAAAAAAAAATGAAAATAACAAATTCAGCTGAGAGACTAGTATGTGAAATTAATCAACAGTCTTACAGTTCAATAAGCTCCGGTGAGAGTTAGTAGTTTTCGAAGAATTATTTCCGTTACTTCTAGCTGTGTATGTTGGTTGACAGTTATTTAACCGTCTGGAACAATGTACACAACAATTGCTTAGATCTCGCCACCTTGAACCACCTTCGCAACTACACGCATGACATACATACACCTTGGTCGAATGGAAAGCAATCGGTCGTTTGGTATACTGATCCAGTAATCTTTGATGAAAAATGTCTTTACACTCCATATTCATTGCTTTCTGATGACGTCGTTTAGCAGAGGCTAGATGTAAACGCTTTTGGCGTGCTTCACAACGTGATATCCATGGAGACATTCGGTTTCGAAAATGAGTTTGTAAATTTGTACATTCATAGGCGATAAAATTATCACCGATTTCATAGGCTAACATGCTAGGAGAATTCTTCTGATTAACTACTTGATAATTCATTCCATCAGCAGCATATTTAGATGTTGGTTCTAAAATAGGATAGAAATTAAATTAACTGATTGGAGATAAAATTACCACCTTATTTGTGGCTAACAGTTGAGACCAGTTTGAAGCGCGTTTTATCCTTTTTGGGGACTAATCTGTCAGCTATCCCGAGCCACCTCCAGTGAGTGATATTGTTGTTTCTACTGAGACTATAATCTGTAACGTATCCCTTTAAACGACAGAGCGTTATTAAGCTGATAAGTAAGTCTCAAATAGAATGAGAAGCGGGTTCAGGATCCAACTCCTAGAAATAACCTGGTTAATTATAAGAATAAATGTTTAAGCAATATCCAAGTATCCGCATATGAGCCAATAGAGGTGAATCAAGTCGATCCAGTATAACAACGGAGAATTACAAGTACGTCAATTGAGTGATAATAATAATAATAATAATAATAATAATAATAATAATAATAATAATAATAGTAACAACTCATACTCACTTGTACTCGGTAAGTAGACGAAGTCGGTTGGTGAGGTGGTTTGGATATGTGTTGTGCACACCAAGCTACCAACGACCTAACTCAACATGCAGTGCTAGTAGAAGGTCGGTTAGGTTGGAAGAGCGTTCAGGCTGAGCACACCAAGATGTTGGCACCTATTCGTGACGTCCTTGACTGTTGATCTGAGCCATATGAGGAGATGGAGGCAAGCTGGCAGGACTCCTCAACGCCATAGGAATCAGTGGTTGAGGACCCTTCATCTTATGACTACACTTCGGTGACGAAATCAGTCCTCTCCTGTCCACTTGCTGCTTGTATGGTGCCGTCAGGTGTACGGCAACTGCAACTGATAATTCTGACAACTTGTGTATTGTATTACTCCAATATCACTGATCTAAATCGAGGTCGCAACCAACTCAACAACCTTTTGCACATTTGTGCAATCAGCTATGAGTTACACCTACTGTCCCGGGGGACTGATAGCGCAAACTGGCGGTGCTGGAACTCTCGAACTAAAGAATAATCTTACAACTCATTTTGTATTAATAATGAAAATGAAGGAACAGATACACATACGCTCACTCTGAACATTCATACTCATAGCCTAAAAGTAGTATTTTCTCACAAGCAGGCTGGAAATAATTCCTTTCTTTTAGTGATTTCAGTTTATGCCAAGTGAAATTTCACTAGTAAGTCATAGAAGCTAAATAAGGAACCGAAATACATTGAAGAGATCCTACTTCCTAATAACTACCATGCAAAGTTTATTGAAAAGTTTATAAGTATTGATAAGAGAAGGCGTGATAATGTTATCGGTGACTACAACGTGCATAAGAAGAAGGAAATCAAATCGTTTGCTCAGTATTTTCTAATGAAGAAGGTACATTGAAAAGTCTGCGAAGAATTCTGAACAATATTCGATTGATGGCATTTGAGGTGACATTTCAACTCAAAAACAAACTCAAAGAGAAACGTTGTTAGCTGGAAGATCTAGTAGAGGCAATTGTACAAAAGAACCCAGTCTATCCAACATTGTGTAGTGTGATTGTCAGGTTAAGTAGAATAGGTCAAAACAACCAATCGCTGTCAACCACAAATAGCAGAATACAAAAGTTTGGCTAAACTCACAGTGATGGACCTTATCGAAATAAGTAATTTCGAGAAACACCCCCCCCCCTATCGCATTTCATGCACTCACCTATAACAACACTGAGGAGTGGGTGAGATAGGGTGATATTTATAAACCACAATAAAACATCAACGTAGAACGTCACACACAAAACTGCATCCCTTTAACTTGCCATAATTCACAGGTGTACACAAAGAACAGATATTCAGAACAAAGGGATCTAAAAATGGAAAAAGTTATGTGAGAGAATAAACAATTTGGAGATAAAGGTTAGTGGAAATATTCGAGCTTCATAAGATGTCAATAAGTGAATACATCTCCACCAGTGTCACCAACTTTCAGCCAGATCACCAAGTGTCCTCACCTTCTGATTCTTTTTCTCCCGCAGACCCCATCTAGTCAGCTTGCAGCTTCCCTGACATGGCTCAGACCAACCGTAAGAGACTTCACCAAATGTGAACCATACTTAAAAGATACAAACCTAATCTGAAAACTCTGTAACAGCTTCATGTCTCCTTTTTTTCAACGAGAACGTCGCACAGGACACAACGAACTGCAGCGAAGTATGCTCGTGCCATGATTGATGGTCAGATAGCGTCAGACATAACTACATAAGTGGAGCTTTAGTATCGTATGATAAGTGTGATACGACGAATGTGAGCAAAAAATTCTGCTCAGAATGTTTTCATCCAGTAACTAACAATAAATAGCAAGAAATTTCACTCACCTTTTTTCTCTATTCCAACAGCTCCTTCTTTTACAACCGACTCCTTCCAGTTTGTATCAATAGACTGATTATCATGAAATTGTTGCTCTCTTGAATTACACATCTCATTCAAGTTATACGTGTTTTTCACCTCCTCATGATTAACAAACACACGATTACTGGGTGATGATGATGATGATGATGGCGAGGATGACGATGGTAAAAGATAGTGGGAGGATTGGCAGGCTGAACAATTTACGGTACGCAATTTATTTTCTCCATCTTTACAACGCATACAAATACAACAGTTGCATGTTGTTGAGTGCTCCATAGAAGACGCAGCAATTACGCAGTTACTATTATTCAGTTTTCTCCCTGTATTATGCCTTGATGATGATTGTGTCGTGACATTATGGCAATGACTACCGTAGAATGGTTGAAACCAAGATATCCCACCTGACGATGATGATGATGATGTTTTATCAGAATAAATAATAAATAATTATGCATGTAATATTGTACAGTAAACAAGAAGACTTATGCATAAATATGACAATGACTACAAGTAATACGTTTGAACCACGCCTGAAACCATAGTCGTTATCGTTTGCAACCAACACCTTGATGAGGTGGGTTCAGTGAACACGGTTACTTCTCTCACTAACAGTCGATTACATAACGTGTTCAAGAGGTCGAATTGCCTGAGATTCTTCCTTTTCTTTTCAACTGACCTCGAGATCTCGACGCATTGTCACTAAATCGGGAAGAACTCCACTCACCCCAACCATATACACATATATATGCTGAAGAAAGTGAGTTTCGCACACCCATTTGAATGAAACCTGACTATTCAGACCTCGGTAGTTGTAGTGGGTTTCAAATTCATGAGTCAAACTGTTGAGAATCAAGTGTCTGGATGAATAAGTCACATGTTCAACTACGGATGTTCAGACTAATATGTCAATAGGTACTGGTGTGGTAATTTAAACCAATATTATTATTACTACTATTAATTATTTGTCCCTTGGGTTCCTAATGGAACATAGGGCTTCAGTGGCACGTCTCCACTACACTCTGTTCTCTGAAATCTTTTCAACCTGGCTCCACGACAGCCCACAACCTCTCATTCCCTCCTCACACGATCTCCTCCATATCACCCTCAACTCGGACGCCAAACTCGTCACTTCCCATCTGGGTTCCACTCGAGGGCCTGACCTGGCATGTGATGTCCCCACTCGGCCTTCTCAGTGTATGCCCAATCCATCTCCACTTCCTTCCAGTGCATATTTGTTCAGTGATAGCTTCTTACTTCGTTGGTTCGTTCACAGCCAGAGTTCCTCCTTGCTTATTCTTTCTGGCCATCTGATGTGATCTTCAGTATTGAGCCAGCGTGGGCAGTTGTTGATGAATGTGTGTAGTTTGTTGGAAATGCCTTTCGTAAGGCGCCAAGTCTCTGAAGTCTCCGAAGCATTGACTTGACATTGGTGTTGAAAATCTGGATCTTGTTCTACGTGCTGAGAGCAGAAGATGTCCACAATGGTTTCAGGCTAATGAAGACCTGTCTTGCTTTGCTTTTCCGATCCTGGCTTTGACGTCCTCACCTGTGCCGCCTGTAGTTAAAACGATGCTGCCTCCAAGGAAGGTAGGTGAAAGAGACAACTTTCTTTAGGTTTCTCCCTTTAATGGTGATTACAGCTTGTTGTTAGTGGTGTTGGTTGGGTATCTTCATCACCTCTGTCTTTTCCACATTCACTTGAAGTCCCGTTTTCGCTATCCTGCCTCTTCTGTCAACTTGTTAGTTTTCGCCTGTAGATCTTCAAGTTTGTGCAACACTAAACATAAATCATCGGCGAAATCCCAATCTTCTAGGCTCTTTTCATCGATCAAACAGCTTATGCCCATCTTCTCACAGCTCCTCACGGTTTCCTGCATGATCCAGTCCACTACAATCAGGAGTATCATGAGTGATAGTAGGTGGCAGCCTTGTTTTACTCCTGTCTTCACTTCACCTCAAAGGTATCACTGAGTTTCCCATCGTGAATTACTTGGCATGTGGCATCTTCATATAGTTGTTGAATGAGGCTGATAAACGTATGCGGTATTCCGTAGTATTGAAGCAGTTTCCAAATTACCTCTCGGTCGATGCTGTCGAAGGCTTTTTCAAAGTCGATGAAGTTGAGGTGAGGTAGAGAGTTGACTGCCATTCTATACTCTGTTCTATGATGAACCAATCAGATAAGTGTAAAGAATTCAAACAGTCTTATCACCTACTCGATAGATATATCATTCACATGTTTTCATGAGATAATAATCACCTAAAGAGGTATTTAATATTGAATAGATGCACTAAGATCATCGTAATAACTGCTGGTTTAGTGGGTGTCGCTGATAAGGATGCATATAAGTAGTATATATTGAGAGGGTGGTAAGAATCATAGGGAATTACCAGCAATAGGTAAGGATTCTGCCAAGAGCAACGTAAGCGATAACTCAGGCATATTACTCTGCGTGTTGCTGATAAGAAAGTATGAAGAGCAAATGAAGAGAGAAGGAAAAGAGGAAATGAAGCACATTTTGCAAATGACAGTTTGAGTGCAAGGTGTACTATTTATAATGACTACCGTCCGAATAATTGCGTCATAATGTGCCACAGAATAACAGTCCAAAAATCCATTATAGGTGAACAGGTGGAGAGAGAGATTGATCACGGAATCTATATCCATTGGTTCATAGAACACTCGAAACATATACGTCAGCACAATATTAGTTGTCTTAAGGAAATTGGTGGAAAGTGTTACTACACTTGTGTTTGGCACTTGCCAGCACTCTTGACCACCATACAAGTTTGACGCCAAGGGAAATGATGAGATCTTTGTCCAAACTCATGTCAACCAGTACTGCAGTCCAATGACGTTACCACAAATCAACACGTTCGAATATCGATGAGGAATCGAAAATTCGAACACACACATGTACAATATACAGGAAGCCCTTGCATTGACGTTTTCTCTTGAGAATCACAGTTGACTAGTATGACATTCAAACAAGTACAAAGTTTTCGAGAGAATCCGAGTAAACAAATCCAGATGGTACTGCATTCTAGACTAAGACTGTTCCTAGATAAAAACAACTTCACTATTCAACCCTACTCAATTTATATTCAGTCTTTGTGTGAACTTGGCGCGTTACGAAAGGGATTTCCAACAAACTATAGACATTTATCAACAACTGCCTACGCTGGCTCGATATTGAAGATCACATCAGATGGCCAGAAAGAATAAGCAAGGAGGAACTCTGGCTGTGAACGAACCAACGAAGTAAGAAGCTATCACTGAACAAATATGCACTGGAAGGAAGTGGAGATGGATTGGGCATACACTGAGAAGGCCGAGTGGGGACATCACATGCCAGGTCAGGCCCTCGAGTGGAACCCAGATGGGAAGTGACGAGTTTGGCGTCCGAGTTGAGGGTGATATGGAGGAGATCGTGTGAGGAGGGAATGAGAGGTTGTGGGCTGTCGTGGAGCCAGGTTGAAAAGATTTCAGAGAACAGAGTGTAGTGGAGATGTGCTACTGAAGCCCTATGTTCCATTAGAAACCCAAGGGACAAATAATAATTCGTGTGAACGGATATATGAATGGAAACTGTTGACAGCTGAAGTCAGCAACAAGAGTATGAGGTGGGAGTATCAGTCAGCCGGAAGACCAGGTTTTGTGCTTCTACGTCCAGGACTATCTACTGATTGGACACTCCCATCATTGAACGCCGAAATTAAGTCCACTCCACAGGATCATCTTACTTTCTTCAGTGTCCATATCGTAAAACATTGATCAACAGACTAGCTTCAATGAGCAGTGAGCGCTTTCTCACCCTCATGACCAGCTTGTTCACATAGAAATATCCATAACTGGAAGGTTTCAGAAACATAACTACATAAAAAGCAGTTTACCTGATGCAGCATACGCGTCAGCGACAATACTTTTCGACATACAACACTGTTTGGCATCATTTTCTGCAGAACAGTGACAACTAGAATGTCTATGACAATTTACATCATGAATATCATTTTGTCTGAGAAAGAAATTGTTGCCAAACTTTACAGCTTTCAATGATCCAGTTGAACGATGTGAATTAGACACAGTCGGTTTCATATTCAATGTGTTCATCATCAACATTTCGAGTAACTGATGTTCAGCGCGTCTCCTCAGCTCAGTAAATCGTCGATTATCAATGTCATAATTAACTTCATGCCCAGATGAACAGTTCACTTGCATCTGAGTAGTTCCTGTTCGAAAAATAAAGACAACAGAACAAGCTCTTATTGGGATACACTAACTCTTAAGTCAGTTTACACTTTAACATAGTACGCACAAAATCAACACAGAAGTCCGAGCAAACGTGCATAGCTTCGAAGTCTCAAACTAACCACAAGACGTTAAGGAGTATATACAACTATGTAATTTTCATCGATTTTCAGCCATATAACCAACAGTCCCCAATCAAATTATCACTATCTACCTAGTAACCACGTTCAGGTTGGCTACACCTACTAACACGACTCAGATCAACAGTCAGGGAGTTCATGGACTGGTACCAAGTATGCCTAAGCAAAATATCAAGCACCATTCACCCAAGGACCGAAGGGCCACGTGATCAGATAGACATGAGTAAGATGGAACCAGCCGAAGTATGTCCTCATACATCCTAACTACCAAAATTAACAAGGCTGGTTACAGTCAGACAGTCTGTGAAGTAGATGGTTTGCTGACCATGGAATTTCATAGATATAAGGAACGCTTAGAAGCGCCTTACGAAGTGCTGCAAGGCTGGCCATTGTCATGTGCTGCACATCCAGTTAACCCCCTACATATCTAACAAAATGGAGTTCTGTAAGCAACTCGTAGCACTAAAGCGTCAAAAGGTATCCTAACAAGACCACTTACTACAGGTTCTTTCCAAGGATAGAGATGGGACTGACTGGTGACATCTTCAACGGTACTACGTAAGAACCAGTTACATACATCAATCGGGAACAACTTTAATGTTGACTCAAAAAAACTATGGACACGATGCATCAGTGTGAGCAGCTCCCCTCCACTCTTATGAGATCCAACTTCGTCAAGCTACAGGTGCTAAACACCTCTGTGTGTTTGATCAGTATGGTCTTCGGCATCCCATAGGAACACTATATAAATGATTGTGACCATAGGCTGCGTATGTCTGGGCATGATGAAAGCAGTCATTCACTTAGTGAGGTCATCTGACTTAAAACACCGGCGTCGATGGCTTAGATATGTGTTATGAATAGTATCTCAACACCTTCCATACTATTCACCATTCATTTACCCTAGGACAAATTAGAAAAAAGGGTAAGCCAGTCCGTGTACAGTTTTCTGCTGTAAGATGAATGACACTTGCATTGAGGTTAGAATCTGTAAAGGTGCCTCACAAATTTTTGGATAGCTTATAAGACAGCAAACAACTCAATTGCTTTACACGATAACAGACAGAACTCTATTACTGAAGAGTAAATTCAAATTAGTGAATTAATGAAGCCTACTGGGAACTCGTTTCAGTAGCTTGATAAAGTCTGAAATGCTGCTAACTATTGCGTGAGGGATGAAGACACTATTACATAGCTACCTGGCTAAATCATCACTCATTGGTAAGAAGTCAACATTTCAGAAGCAATGAACTACAGCTTCACATACCAATAACTATAAAAAAACATTAGTTGAAACAGTTAGTCCCTTTTATGAATTTCGATAGCGTAATTAGAAGACGAAGTTTATCTGAGCAATGTGATGTATTTGAGCAATACATTTCGAACAATCTGATCACACATTTACTTGTCAAGTCAATTTATACATATATTAAACCGAGGACTGGGAGGGGGGATAAATACAACATTTAACACAAGCAGGGGATTAAAATTAAGAAAGATGAGAACAAACAGGAAGTGACATAGTTGGTCCTAATCTTGGTAAGAAAATAAAGTTTACCAAGGTAGGTGTAGTGTAATAACAAACTGTTTTTGTACACATAAAGGTGGTTTAAATTTATGTATAGCTATGGCTTCCGCAAATCTCAGAATATGTCCCTGACTGACTCTTTCTATATATGAAACTTTGAAAGCTGTTTGAACATTAACTGTGTGACCTGTTTCTATGATATTTTTAACTATAGATGAAGAGGGTCGTCTCGCACCAGCGTTTATCACTGTTTCACACTCCATTTGTTTTTGAAGCCATTTAGGCACATGTTTTCCCATTCTCAACTGCATAACTCGATTACTCCTCTCTATGTATGTGTGACCACACACACATGTAAATTGGTAAACACAATGGGATGTGACGTAATCACTGATGCAGTGTTTAGGTTTTTGGTGAAGCATGTGTTTTGTTTTCTCCACAATGGTAAGATTCGCTGCACAATACGTTTTTTTAATGCTTGATGTCAGCCTATGTCTCAAAATGATACTATTTAGCTCCCCTTCGTATAGTAGAGTGAAATAGACATTTTTCTTAAGGACCGTGTATAGAGTTGGCTTTGGTGTTACTTGACCTCTACAACGGTTTATAAACTTCGTCGGATATCCAATGTTGGTAAGAAACTATTAAAGCACAGTTTAGATATTCTTCTTTAACTGTAAACCTATTGAAGACGATTATTTTAAGCCCAAAACAACTTGAACTTCATCGGTAGTTAATCAATGGGCATAAAATGTTTCACCACTTCCAGGATCACTTCACAGATGTGGTAGCTCTTGGAAAATTTTCCAAGAAATAAAGAACCATCTCGAAACACTTCGACTGTTGTATCACAGTCAGTGTCCTAATGGAAAACGCCATTGCATTTGAGGCGATTAGTCATGAGTTTCAGCCCTGCTGTGAAGCAGGTGGATTCAGTTAACGACTCTCAAGTGTAACGAAACATATTCCACCATTGCTCACTATTAACCATCTTATTACTACTATCAAATAATTTCACATTGCTTTGGTCAATCAGTTTATACAATGGGAATGGAATTTATTCTTCAGGCAATTGACAGCTCAGGAGGTGTCATTCATCAAACGTGGAAGAGTCACGTCATTGCAGGAAACCAACAGGCCTATGTCTTGCATATATATGTGATCTGATAAACAGTAAATCGCATCAGTTGAATAATGCCACTTGATTGATTCAATCTTGTAATCTGTTAATTACTTATACTAGGTAAGGAGAATAAATCTATAGGTGAGGTGATTTAGACATATGTTGTGAACGCCAAGTGACTTGCAACTTATCTCGATTTGGACATACTAATAGAAGGTTGATTAGGTTAAAAATTAAGAGTTCAGTATAGCCAGACCGAGATGCAAAACTAGTCGAGAAAATTCCTTGACTGTTGGTCTCAGTTGTGTTACAATCTGTACAACACTATCTTGTTGTGGACCATGTAATGACAGAAATTAGGTAGTTGAGAACTCTTCGTGATATGACTGGCGTAGATCTATTCACTCCTTGACATCTTTTAAACATTGAATATTTGCATTAACCTTTGCCTTCAAATGTCTATACGTGGATGTTGTCTGTTTACCTGTCTATCTATCTATCTACCTGACTTATCCATCTTAAGTCTAGACATTATACAACATTTGGCATTCAAGTGTCTTCTCTACTCAAAATCATATTACAATACACAGTATGGAAGTGATATTACTCAACAGATTTGATCACAGTGTGAATACGTTCACTATTTTATCGCATATTCACGTATATATTATTGTTGAGCAGTTTATGATCATCATACTGGTTTAGGATTAATTTTCCTTCTTTGTGTAATATTAACTGAAATATATACATATATGATAAGGTTGAGAAATGATAAAATGTTGATCAGAATGAAAGGTATAACACAAATCGATGACTTCTGTGATTTTTAGTTTGAATACTACAGAGAGGATCAGTATGATATCGATTGGAATCTGTTATACTGGTCTAGATCCATCCATCTGCTATCTTCATACGAAGGCATAAATCGTTTACCTTTTTTGGTCATTATATCAACCTGTACATCCTATTCTCCTCTTTTGATAATGCTTAACGCTCTTGAATTTCATCGTCTCTCCGTATTTCTCTTGATCCTCTCCATTACTTCGATGTGTTGATGTCAAGTATGATAGACAACAGTAAATCAGACAATTTACAATGAGAAGCCAGATGAATTCAAACTTATTCACGGGAAGACAGATGGATCGAATCAATGTAGAGGCCCCCTTGTTGGTGAATCCATTCAAATTGCCACACGTCGCAATGGTATAACTGCAAGCCAGGTGGGTAGAAAGAGAATGATATCAAGGAAGATAAAGTTTTGTGATAGAATAAACAATCAGAAGATAACAATGAGTGTAAATATTTAAGCTTTAGAAGATATTAAGAAGTGAATACATTTGCACCATTGTCACAGACTTTCTTTAAGCTATCTCACTGATAGTCAGTCAATCCTCAACTGTTGATTCCTGAAGTTTCAAAGACCCTGGTCAGGTAGTCAACATCTCTTCCACATACCTGGGACCAACAGTCAGAGACACCATCGACTAGTGTCCTGTCTTTATCTGGTCACTTTGAACCATGTTCCAATCTAATTCAGCTTCTTCTAGCATTGCTTGTCAAGGTAGATAGCGGTGGCTCGATATACGCAACACATCTCCAAGTTACTTAAAGTCTAATAGAATAAGACAAAAATGAAACACAACAATAATGATCTAAATGAACCAGTTACCTGAATGGTCGGGTATCTGAGTAATTATTTCAGACATTTCTAGACACCCATTGGAACAATGACCATCGTGATGAGTGGTCACTGCTGTCTTCATCAACCTCTTCTTACTGACTTGTGCTTCATTCTCTAAGTGCTTGTCAGTAAATGTACCACATTTGTCAATGGACGGTTTTGTTCTTGGCCAGTTTTGTTTCTGCGGTGGTGCAGACTGTTTGGTGTTTGATTTATTACCAACAGATTGGTTATCACATTGTTCACTCAAATCGACATCTTCTTCGAATACATCTGTTAATATGGAAGGTGTATCTGTGTCCCAGTCATCTGGCATTGAATCCGGTAAGGTCTAAAATAGGTAAACATTTCCCCATATATTTGAAATTCTTGACGCCTCAATTGAATATAGACAACTGAATATAAAGCTTGAGATCATATGAAAAGTCTCTATGCATCGAATTCACTCAGCAACTGTGCGCACATATTCCGGCAGATTGAGCAATGAGCAATACGCCTTTTGTATGAGGGCTGATGTTGCTGTTGTTGTTGTTGTTCCTGCCTGAGAAAACCTTGGCAGGTGATGAACCGTGACCGATCAATCGGGTTCTATCGCCTAGAACAATCAGGCACGACTTCACATATTTAAAAATGCAATTCAGTTGACAACACATGCCTAGTCATCACTCAGCCTATAGCTGCTACTTTAAGGTGGTGGTCAGGCTTGAATATCACCATGACCCAACGAGCTTTACTGGTGGAACGCTTGTTCCCTCGAGGTTCTACGTTACCAATAAGGTCGGCTGGATATTGGTCAGACAAAAGGCAGTTACTCTTAACGTGACCATGAACAACGAGCTGATGCATTATGGTGGCGTAGATCAGTCGTCAGTGGTTAGTGGTAATCCATACAAACGAAAGTATATCCAACTTCATCTCTGTCTCCTCCTTTGCCTTTGTTCACCTCATGATAGTGATATTAGGCCTCTTATGCCTTACCCAACCTCTAACTCTGCAACCAATGTCAACGATCAAAGCCATCAAAATCTCATTCCTAGTCTCCTTAGATCACACCATAGAATTCTATGCAAGGTCGGACAACAAAGCATCGCTCAAAAGAACTCTGGAATCTCTAACCATGGATGTGCGCTGTGTCTCAGAGACAAGTGTGAAGGACCCGAGTGCAGCTCTTCAATTTACCTCACCTGATCACATTAGTAAATCTTCAAAATTCACTTGAAGAGTATTCTGAGAGGCAATGGCCAGATTTCTCGAACTCGATGGTGTAGGCTTAGCACTGAGTTGTAGAACAGAAAGTGCTCTCTATGACTGGTTTTCCAGTAAACGGCCGTCTATATGCTATTCGACTCAATGCATTTGTGCGGACTAGAAAGAATCGTAAGACTAGACGATACTTATTCAATAGCTAGTGGAGTCACATCAGTCATACACTATGACGAAACACCTGTTGTCCAATGCTACCAAGTCTTCAATACTTCTTCAAATAATGTTAATGCGTGACGAATACTACTACCACTTTAAAAGATAAGCAGTATGTAAACTAAAGATGTTAGAAATCCACACAGACATAGTGTCTACCCACTTACCAATGTCTCTGATGAAGCTGCTTGATGTAGAAATTCTTCAAGATGATTCACTATACGTCGTCTTAAGTGGTATGCATCTTGAGCACGTAGTAATTTCAACTTTTGCTTTAATAGTGTATATCTCAACTGAGTGACAAGAGTTGATCTAGTTGCAGTGTTAGCTGGTTGTTGAATTCCATAAGTTGGACAATCTGTAATCACCTTTGTCTTGTCAGTTGGAGTAACAGTCGAAGGCTTCAGTTCACATCCATTCAATTGACAAAATACATTTGAAGGAGAGATTTCCCTTGTCGGTTTCAAATAGCTACGACCATCTGGTTGTATCCTGTACGTCGCATCACTAGAACCGATACTTTCAACGGATAAACCTTCTGTCTGACCTGAAACATTTCATGTACACAATCAATATGTTAATAGGCGTACATATGTCAAGAATAAAGTGAATTGTATACTACTTCTACTACAAATCTTACCCGCCCTTGTACTTGACTTCTCCATAGTATTAACACATTGAACATATGAACATATGGGATAACACTGGGCTTTGCAGATGTCTACATCACTTTCAATCTCTGAATGTAGAGCCAATGGAAGTTTTCTGATCGGAATAGAATTTGTCAATACTGATGAAGTAGACAAAAAATTATCTCTAGTCGGACAAAGTTCACGATTGGCTTGTTGCTGTTTTCGTTCTGATTGATTGTCATTATTCTGACTTTTCATAGTTTGTAGGGATACTGTACAATATTCGACTGTTTGCTTAGAATGAGGCGTAAATATTGGTTGAATGTGATGACAATGTGCTACAGATGACGGCTGACTGCTCTCCTTTCGATTACAGCAGATTGGCACAACAGTTTCACGCTGAAAATAAAGAAACAACACAAAAAACAGTCAGAGAATAGAAGAGAAATCGCGTCGACATTCAACAATCTATCAGTGTGCACAGCTGTGAGACGTCGCTATTGAAAGTAGAAGATATGAATCGATTATATGGTTTCGATCACAGATATCTTCGTAGTATTGCTCACATCTGCTGGAATCATCGTGTGACCGTGTAACCGATTTTCATCCATGTCAGTAACAGTCGTCAACCACTGATTCCTCTGGTATCGGTGACCCTAATCAGGCAGTCTACAATTCCCCACATAACTCAGCCTAGCAGTCACAGAATTTATCAACGGATGCTACGTCTTCGTCTGACCACTCTCAACCTTCTACCAACCTAATCAAACTTCCCCTAGCGTGACACGTCCAGATAAGTGGTGGTCACTTGGCACGCATATCACATGTTCAAGTTATTCCTTTCTTTGAAGTCTTACAAATTCACTGACTCACCTGACGTGATCTCAACATTTCTGGCAAAGTGATCCCACCATACATGAGAAATGCTGCATAGATACACACCTGTGAATAAAACCTTAACCATAGCCAGCCACATCATATCTTCTACTCATAACGGCCATCTCTGATAGCTGTGTGCTGTGGCAAGGCAGAATTCATTGTACCGTAGTATCCTTGCCCTACAATCACTCTCCTCAATGTCCTATAACTAATTTTCCCAAATGATATGGTGTAGCTTAACAAAGTTCATACTTTTCATCTATTATATCAGATGAATAGCGATTTCCAAATGAAAAATTCAACATTGATCATTATTTTCATCTCTTCCAGTGTCGGATTGACATTCTATCATTCACATATAACACACATAAACTTTATCTTCTCTCATTCAACTAAACTTACACATGAATTATTAGTCGTAGTTGTATGAAGTACATTTTGGGCAGTACTATTCAATATGCCATTGAATTCAGTTTGTTCAAGTAGATCTTCTTCTTTGACAGAGTTCTGTTCAACTGAATTGATAGAAGACTTCTGAACATTCTGTTTGATTGATATCATATCTGTATAGTTCACTGGTGTATTGTTCCACTGTGATACACTAGTCGCTGAAAGAATAAAACATTTCGAAATAACAAAACAGAAACCTGAACAATTTTTCATAAGTAAGCCTAAAAGCCATTCTAGTAAAATGTTCTACTTGAATAAGCAGATTTTCAAACAATCCAGAAATCTAATTGGTTGAAAGTAGAAGAGATGAAATGATCCAAAGATTTTTTCATAGGTGTCTGCTCACATTTGATGGAACCAACCTTGTGAGAAATGTTGAAGGTAAACGAAGAGTATTAGGCAAGATAGGCAAGTCGATAGTTAAGATTTTGAAAAACGTGAGTCAACTGAGATGTCTTGGACATCTACTTCACAACATGACCCATCGCATACATCGACGCGCAATGTTAATTGAAATTGGATTACATTGAAGGTGTTTTAGTGTGGCCAGGCGAAGATGTGGCATTGAACTGGTAAAATCTCTGACTGTCAGTCCGAGATGATAGGAATCACTGGTTAAGGACTCTGAGTGATAATATCAGAAAATCGGTGATAATGACCCAGATGTATTCGCTCCTTGTTATCCTCTATATCTTGAAAATTTGCCCTACTACTTTTATATGAGTCTTTTTCCATACACCGGTTCTTTGTAGAAACTTGAACCGATCCACTTGTTTGGTGTAAGGTTACACGTGAATTTCATTTGTTGATCTTTCAGCTGAAAGTGATGTAGTGTCATGTGTTGTTTACGTTTTTTATGAATATCTGTATAACTGGAGTTTATCTGTACAACCCGTTATTTGGTTGGCAAGTGTGTAGAGATATACACTGACTTGTCCATGTTGTTGTGCTCTGACATCTACAATCACTTCGCATAAAAACGCTTACTTCTAGAAAATGTTTCATGGGAAAATTATCTCCTATTTTCACATATGTAAACAATCTAACCAATGTCAGTATCTCTCGGTCATAATCGATACTCTAAATCATGTTTCAAGAAGTAAATTTCCAGTTCAACTTTTCAATATATTCTACTCTGTGTTTACTCAACTCTTCATTCAATCTCTACTTCTTTTTCAGTTTCTGTTGACTTTATGTTGTTACTTTTCTCATTGATCACATGTAATGGAGATCTAATCAAAAAAAAGATGTTGAAATCAGTTTGATTCAGAGTGTTGTTTTGCAACATCATTTTAGGGAAGATGTGAAGAGTAACCATCAACAAGACACTGTTCACTATAACTATCAATTGAAAATCAATCACCGTTAACAGCGTCGACCGACAAGTAATTTCACAGACAGTTGCTTCAAAACTACGCAATACCACAAACCCTCATCAATCTCATTCAACAGCTAAGCTATATGACGACTCGACATGCCAAGTAATTCACAATGGGAAGCTCAGTGATACCTTTGAGGTGAAATGAAGACAGGAGTAAAACAAGGCTGCCCACTATCACCCATGATATTCCTGATTGTAGTGGACTGGATCGTGCAGCAAACAGTGAGGAGCTGTGAGAAGATGGGCATAAGCTGTTTGATCGATGAAAAGAGCCTAGAAGATTTAGATTTCGCCAATGACTTATGTCTAACGTCACACAAAGTTGAAGATCTACAGGCGAAAACTAACAAGTTGACAGAAGAGACAGGATAGCGAAAACGGGACTTGAAGTGAACGTAGAAAAGACAGAGGTGATGATGATACCAAGCCAGCACCACCAACACCACTAACAACAACAACAACAACAAGCTCCAATCACCATCAATGGGAGAAACTTACAGGAAGTAGTCTCTTTCACCTACACCTAACTACGCAGCACTATTTCAACTACAGGTGGCGGCACAGGCACAGACGACGACGTCAAAATCAGCCAGCATCTGAATGACAGCAAGACAGGTCTTCATTAACCTGAAACCAATGTGGAGATCTACTGCACTGCACTGCACTGCACTGCACTCAGCACAAAGCGTGAACAACATCCCGATTTTAAACACCAATCCAGTCAAGTAAGTCAGTGCTTCTATATTCTTCACAAACTTGGCGCCTTACGAAAGGCATTTCCAACAAACTACACACATTCATCAACAACTGCCCACGCTGGCTCGATAATGAAGATCAGGTCAGATGGTCAGAAATAATAAGCAAGGAGGAACTCTGGCTGTGAACGAACCAACGAAACAAGAAGCTATCACTCAACAAATATGCACTGGAAGGAAGTGGAGATGGATAGGGAATGCACTGAGAAGACCATTCGGGGACATCATGTGCCAGATCAGGCCCTCGAGTGGAACCCAGATGGGAAGTGACGAGTTTGGCGTCCCAGTGGAGGGTGATATGGAGGAGATAGCGTGAGGTAGGAATGAGATCTTCTGGGCTGTCGTGGAGCCAGGTTTAAAAAATTCCAGAGAACAGAGTGCACTGGAGACGTGCTACTGAAGCCCTATGTTCCATTAGGAACCCAAAGGACAGATGATAACAATAATAATAATAATAATATGAAGCAGTAAAAGTGATTCTAGTCAGATCATTTTTATCAAATATCGATTCAACCATATCTTCAACAATGTCAACTAAATAGCCTATACTAGTCACAATGCATCATACATCATCAATCAATGACTTGGTTCAGTGTAGTCTGTTGATTCCATGATCTTCCATGACGAAAAATCGAAACGGTGAATAAATCTCAGACGGATAAATGTCATTAGTTGTGTATTTCTTGATATATTTTAAAAGTCATTTCTCTACTTATGATTTGATTAATAACATAATTGTACAGCTGACCCGGTTGAACAGCGACTGACCCCTCATTCATTCATATATAACAGTATTGTCATCATTATCAAAATTGAAAATCTCGATTATATCGAGGGACATCCAAGCATAAGAGCCCATATACCAATACTGGTCAATCAATTCGTTCCAATGAACCATGAAGATAATATTAACAATTAGCTGAATTAATGTTCACTTGAGACACAAATTCACATAATACTTGTCATACTACTAACACTAATTAAGTAGTTTATTGTGATACTCATCTTTCAGACTAATTCAATGTCAAGAAATGAAACAAGACTAACTGAATTATATCGTAATTATTCATTCCAGTAGTTCTGCTCCTTGAGAAGTTATTACATTGGCCGTAGTATGCAATCACGTTTATAATTGATTCGAGAATACTACACAGTTTGGCTTGCAAAGGCAAAATTCAGGGCACTCGGCTCTTTTAGATATTTCATTCAATCTTCTCTACAGTCTTTGAAGCAAGCAGATAGAATCGGATTGATATCGAATTAGACAAAGTTATGTGAGAGAATTAACAATCAGAAGATAAAGGTTAATGCAAATATTCAAGCTACAGAAGATGCCAAGTAGTGAATATATCTGCGCCATTGGTATCAACTTTCAATCATGTCACCATGTATATTACTCTGTCCACCTTGAATCTTCATTCAACTCAAAACAACTTCCTCTAGTATTGCACGCCAGAGTAGATGGCGGTGGATCAATATGTGTAGTACATGTCCAAGCCATCTCAGTCAACTAAGGTTCACAACCACATAAATCGATTTGCCTGTCTTACTTAATAACTATCACCCGACTTCAACACTGCTCACACTGTGATTCCAAGGAATACAATCAATTCCACGAGGATGGATATCTATGATGAAATCCCTGTAACCGTTTCTTATCTTCTACTAAATAACATTGTAGGGAAGAGACAACATTTTCTTCGGTGAAACTGTCTATTGGTATCCATCATGCAGTGTGTACTACCATGAATGGTGCAATCAGTCATTAGCTCATAAGTTCTTATACTAAAGCACAAAATATTTGACCTTATCAGGGAATGATGCATACACTGTTGTAAAGTCGAATACATAAAACAGACCAGACAGAAGAGTTACCTTTCGTGTACAGCTTAATCGAACTGGCATACTCATTTTTTATGATTTCACTAAATTACATCAAAAAATCCACTTAGAGTCACGTTAAATGATCATTAAATAGCAGATGGAAATTTGAAGTTGAACAACTAACTAGTTGCTTTCAATACCTTCAGCGGTGAAGTTTTCTGCTTACTTCACGTCTTTCGAATATTTCTACTTTACATTCTGAGTGAATGAGACCTCCTGATGAGTCACATACAAAGATGAAACAGCTGTCCAGTGCTTCAAATCAATCCCCACCGGCAACTCCTTTCCTACCTTGTCCTCGTGTACCTACAGCGTGAAGTCACTCGCTCTTCCTTCCCTGTTTTATACCTTCACTTGCATACTACTCAGTATTATTAAGTAGCATAATCCATGTTTTCCACAACTTGACGGTTCACAGATATTCAATCGTCTCTTGATCATCATTTAATGCGCCTAGACATTAGAAGATTTCCTGAGGTATGGTGCCAAAGTGATGTGTATTGTTGTTCTCTGATGTTTTGTGTTACATGGAACATTTGTACGCGTGTCTTTGGCATTCCCTTCCAATTTGCTGCTTTTTCCTATTGACGCAGTCTCTGTAAGATGGCGCTTTGATGATGGCATTACGATCACAGATACCTCAAAATTCAAACTTTACATCTTATTAGTCACAGTTGGGCAATATTAATTAATGCAGAGAAAAATTCAAACACACAATCTTCCAAGTTCAATGACTATCTGGTACTAATTAACCTCTTAGTGAAATGCTTTGAGATGAGATTTACTGAAGTTCCAGTGAAGAACTATAACCTGTGAATAATCGTTGGGCTACCCCAAAAAAATGACAGCATAAAACAGCTGTTCAGTGCTCCCAGGTTTACAATGCTTCTTCAACAGGAGTCAACCCATGATGATTCTTACCTTAAGATAACCGATTGAATTGACGACTATTGCACAGTAGCTGCGCCTTCTACAACTTCATCATAATCCTCACTGTAACCCTACCCCTTCTATACAATGTACAATCTCAGTCATTCTATGCATCTCTAACGAATATCAACGATCAACAATGTAATGCCTTTTTTTGAAATTCTCGAAATATAACTCAAAAATCATTCCACAGTGGTTCATTTAAATAACCAAGCAGTAATAGGTGACTACTTGACCACTTTCTCATCTACATATCACACTTCAAATGGTTTCACCGTTTACAGTCACATGGATGAATCGATTCATCGTGCTTTATTCTTCTCTGAGCAACAAGAAAACTTAACCGTAATCAAAAAACCGTGACTTTCGTTAAAACGAAATCACTTCCCATAATTGCTTCATTGAAGATTATTTGGGAGTAGATGTGAAGAACGACGAAATTCTATAGTTCCACTAGTTTACTTGAAAATAGGTAAAATGTGTTATATTCTTTTAGTTGAATAACTGAACTTACGACAAATTTGATGTGAAGTAAATAACTGACAAGCAGTTAAAGAGGAACTAGTGTAACGTGAAGGTATATACTCGCACAAATCCATTGTAGGAAATGCCGAAGAAGACGACGCTAATGCCTCCATCGGTTGCATGTCACAAGAGGTGATTATTTGACTTCCAGAGGTGTAAGAGGATACAGACGTATTAGCTAATTGTACATTGTGACCAGTTGGATTATTGACCTTAGGAATAAATAATAAAAAGGTATATGAAGACATTAGGCAAGCATCGAAGCTCCATTATTCATCAGGTCACTGAAACGTCATATATCCACCTGTTATGCAACGGATATCACTTATTATAGAGGTAATCACCAGAAAACCAAGCCCTGTGAGACCTAGGCTGTATGCTTTTCGGCATTCATCGTTTGTACTATGTATTTGTAACCTCGATGAGGATGATCACCCAATAGGCATTCAAACTGACGTCAGTCAGCGAGTGACGTTACCACTGAGTGATTGATTTCCTCTTTAAGATTGAGTTAGGTATATTGACACTTGCGATTCCCTCCTATTAAACTAAATCAATGTACATGTAGTTGTTATTCGATCATTTGTCAGTCTATGTATATGGCATACTGAGCTATTCTAAGAAAACAATCACCTAAGAAGGTTCCAACAACGTAATCCTTCCATTCATCCATCTATCCTACACACACACACACACACACACACACACACACACACACACACACACACACATTATGACTATATTTGAAACTCACAGTTTTATATGCACCTTCTTTTATTTCTTCTTCACATAGAAATGATGTTTGACGATTTCCAATTTCTTGTGCAAGTTGTAGAATAGGCATTGAGGTTTCATTTGTTAATAACTCAGCATTGTTTAACATTACTAGATGATCATACGCATCAGAACTTCGACAGGTGAACATTTCTCTGTCTGAAAAAGAAATTGAATAACACAGTGAATAGCGATGAAATAAAAACACTGCTTCATCATCATGATTATCATCTATCTACATAGGACCAGGCATTATTTACTGCGTAACGGTTCGAGTTGTTACATCTCATATCAGTACATCAAGTAAAAAGGCACTGAAGTAGAAATTGAAGACGGAAAGAAAACTCACTCCAAAGAAATATAAAGTACGAAAAGATAAAAATGACGAGTGACAAAATGGTGAGATTCGGTATAGCGTCGTTAAGATGAGGATAATGTGTGTGGGGATGCATCTGCGCCACTGACATCGGCTCTGAGTCATAGCACCTACAGCCTCTAATCACTGCTTCCTCTTGTTCCGCGGACCCCAACCACCTAGTCTGCGTCACCTATATGGTTCAAACCAGCAGTCAGAGACTTCATTCATTGGTGCCATGTTTTAGTCTGGCCACCTCGGGCCTTTCTACCAGCCTGAACCTACTTCAGCCAACATTTTGTGACGAGGCAATCGGTATGCCTAGTCACCGATCGCCTCGTCACATAATGTTGGCTGAAGTAGGTCCAGGCTGGAAAAAGGCATTTCAGTTAAAGTAGGCCTGGTTCAATAGTTAAGTGGATAGAGCGTAAAAGCTTACTAGTAGATGGGAATATCAGCGACAAGAAATTAGACACATCAAGAATCCTCTACATCTCAATAATTACCAACCAAAATTTATCAATGAATTCATAAGAAATCGAAAGAAAAATATTGGCAGTGGTGATGGTGGTAGTAGTAGCAATGCAGGTATTATTAATAATAATCCTACTACTACGTATTAAGTGTCCCAACCATTTCAGTCGATGAAGGTTCATAACCTCGTCAACTGATTTACCTATACTCCCTAAAACTCTACGCCTGACTTCTGCATTACTCACGTGGTGACATCACGGGATACGGCCTATACTACGAAGGCAACAGGGGCCAAACATCTGAAACTTTCTCATGTCTTCCACCTTTAATAGACATGTTTCACAGCCATACAGTAGAACAGACCGGACTGCTGCTGTGCAGTATACGCGACCCTCAATAGACAGACAATCGGATATCACGGTAGCACCACAGATGGAGTAAATTGGCAAAAGCCATCCAGGCCCTTTCAATACGTGCAGAAATTTCGTCGGCCTATGAGCCACTAGGGTTAATCCTACTGCTCAGGCAAGTGACATGGTCGACATACTCAACCATTACACCCTCTATTGTCAGTCGAGGCACCAATGAAGACCGATCCTGGAGCAACAATTTGCATTTTGGTGGTAAAAACGCATCCCAAACATACTCAAATTGTTACTCAAAGTGTTCAGAAGACTGTACGTCTTGTCAGCGTCTTCACCTAACTGGACTATGTCATCTGCGTATTCTAGGTTTAACAAAAATTCTCCCGTGATTAGGGCAAACTCTGTGTAGTCAGGTGACGAGAGGGCGACCTCCATAAGAATATCCATGATAAAATTGAATAAGAATGGAGACAGTGGGCAGCCTACACATTAAAAAATACTTAAATAATGAAAGATGGTATGTGTCGAGTGTATGCGCATAGAGTGGAAGGCTACCTACAGCACAGCAGCTCACCTCAACATTGCTCATAAGGCGTTTACAACACAGGTGAGTATCAATACGAAGACACATACCTGTGATCAAAATACTATAGTCGCTTCCTATCTTCTGCTTTCAATGACCTTGTCTCACAGCCCTACAAAAACACAGAACGGACTACAGTGCAGTTTAATTGCCTTTTGATAGATAATCGGATATACAGCCAGTCGGCTCCACAGATGGTGTGACTGAACAAATGCCAAACGGACCTTGGGTATTCCAGCTGAGACCTCGTCAGCACTCACCCTTATCTGGCTGATGTGACCCTTCAAGTAAGCGAAGTGGTTAACACATTTTAACTGGGAAGGCTTGCAGCGGACCACTTCTAGAGTGTCATCTAACATTTGACAGGTGTTAGAGAAATCCATGCCAAACATGATCAGATTTCTGTTCAACGCGTTCAGAAGACCTTGCATTTTGTTAGAGTGAAACTGGAGTATGTTATTCAATCAAGTTATACAGCATATGCACATAGCTCATTCGATCTGATATGTATCAGATGGGATGGGACCATTCAAAACGAATTCAGTCACACCTTCCTTGAACAGTAGAAGCTCTGGACAATCTTGAAAAGTATTCTTAAGTATGTTTAGTCAACCGTTTTCTTGGATCTTTTCTCAAAATGATTTGAATGTTACTGACTAACGTTTTGTCAACAATCCACTTCCACTTCCAACTTCATTGATTCGAAAACTTCTCGCTCCTTTCCCTAGGACATTCGTGTTTCCGACTTGGTAAAAACAAGAACTTCTGAGCTCTATTCATTATTCACTGTCTGTACGTTTTCACTACATGATCTTGACTTGTTACCTCTTAAATTTAACTCAAGCAACAATTTAGACATCTGCACAGTAATTCGATCCAGCATTACAATCAATGAGAAACTATGAGCATCGTTACATTATGACTAACACCTATTCTGGAGAAGTGATTGTTATTACTCAGTAGCCTTGTGGATAACACTTTAGCATTTGAAGTGATACTTGCTAGGTTCGAGTCTCTAAGGGGAATCATCACTCTCTGGAATGGATGTACATCTAACTGACAACTTCCAAATGAGATGAAACGCACCTCCTTGATTCCACCAGTATCTGCCGACAAGTAAAACATAATGAATCTTTCTCTTTCCAATATATTTCACTACTTCATATTATATCAGTATGAGTAATAAATTCTGTTCTGATACAGCATAATGAACGCTGATCACTGGAAATACTTTCTCTACACTGCTAAAAGATATATAAGACACGGTTGACAACACAAGATTTATTTCTACAGAAGGATGCAATAACTACCTGAAACTATAAATGTTTTATAAAAAATCATTTTATGAGACTGATAATTGCCAAGTGTACTATGCAAACATTATCTTCATACTGATCGATTAATAGGTTATTCATGAAACAACTTCTGATTAAGGTTAATAGTAGACTAGTGAAATTACATATAACACTACTTTTAGCCAAGATTACTTATGGACAAAAAACGTATAATAATAGAATGATTATCAAGATTACCGAAATTTCCATCTTCAATAGTACTACTCTGACAACTCTTCATTTCTATATCACAGCTAATTTCATACTGGAGATCTGCATTCATTGGAGTAATCGTAGTAATAGCGGAATAATTGGTTGGATCTATATAGAGAGATGAAATAAACAGTAAGTGAACCAATCGTTTTCATATGTAAATCGCGATAATGAGAAAAATGCTACGACAATCTACTTCCCGGTGGCTAGTACAAGAATCCAGATTGTACGTTCCGTCCTATTTAGGACCCATCAACTAGGTGTGTCTGCAGCCCAGTGATTAATGTGCTAATGGACACTCGGACCTCGTACCCATCGCTTCAAACGCCAAATCGCTATCCACTAGGCCATTGATGAATGGTAGCCACCCCTTGTACAATGAGTATCGCTTATTACTATTCGTTGATATGCTTGCAAATTTCCGTTATTTTACTGGGGTGTAGATACACAGAAGGTCAAATCTGATTAAGACGATCAGTTTGAAAGTGACTTACAAAAGTGAATCGTCAACGTTGACACATTTCTTACAATGGAGACCTTTTTCAACTGGGAACCAACTTTGGTCACGTCAACAAGATTTCCGTTGAAAACCAATCAACCGAGATCTAATCTCTGACACAAAAATGTCAAGAACTAGCAAAAGACGCTACTAATAAACAAGTTGAGTAGTTAGAAAACACTCAGCCAGAAAGGTCAGAGTGATCTAAACACTAGACGGTCGTTTATCGGTGTATTCGGACAAATTCAGGTCATATAGTCGAATTATTTCAGATCACCTGAATCTGACTAGTAAACTTGTTGTTGTTTGGTAGTATTTTTCATTAATTCATATAAGACACTTTTGTATCAATGGTCACACATTGTGATCTCAGTTGAATGATTACCAGTAGAAATCAAATTAACACCACTGCTGTTGCAATGCAGTTGAAAAACTATCCAACTGTGAGAAATGCAACAACAGAGACCGTGCAATTTGTAGATTATTCGCGTATTGATCCTCTTATTCAACGCATATCCATCAAGCATGCAAGTCAACTTGCCATGGATATACAAGTGATGTCAACAACTCCTGTTCAATGAGCTGAATTTGTCTGGATACATGCATGAAAAGCTCAGCTTGAAGCGAGTAATACAACACTTCAGTATATTTTGATCAGCCTGATCGATTAAGATCGAAGTTAGAGTTTTCATGTAAGTGACACATGAAATGACTAACCTTGTCTAGGTGTATGAATAACTCCATCAACAGAACTCGTATTCTCTGGAGTTAAACAAGAAAATGTTCCCATCTCACTGATATTATCAATTGGTAACTGTGGTAAACTTGTTGACCGAGTTGACAACTGTTGTTTTATTACTGTCTTATTGTGATGTTTTCTTTGATAGAAGGAATCACTTTCAGTTCTATCTGAAACAGATGTAGTCCATAATGAGGATGAATCATTCCGTTGATCTTGCCGTGGTTGCTGATGTGTCAGTAACTTTTTCTCAGTATGCTCATCGTTATCGTCGACATGTACACCATCTGCAATTGTATAGTCGATTTGTATTGAACAATCTCGTAAAGTTTTCTTTACCGTAAGAAAAAAGGAATGAAACAATCGAATTACATGGATAAAATTTAATAATACCACCTCAGAGAAAAAAGTTTTCAAGAAAGAAAATTTAAAAAGACCGTGTTGAGCAGATAGAGGCTCCATTTGTTGAAGATATTGAAGAAAATGAAAAATGAAGGCTTCTTCAGCGTTGCAATTGATAAACAACTGTATCCATCAGGTTCTTCCATCCTTCGACTATGTGGATTCTCTGCAGAAAGTGAACAAATGAAGATGTCACCAAGCTGTTCCATACAATACGTCACTAATTCTCTTAACCATTCAGTTATAAAATTGCTCATTGAAATGCTTAAACCATGACATATCGATTTCGGTGTAACAGTAGAGAAATGAACAGATGGTAATATAAGTAGGATTGTATGTTAAAATGAAATGGGTTGGGAATAGACCAGATTAGATCAGATCACAAACCGCCCCTCCGCCAAACTAATATCACAAGGTATGATCTGCTACACTAAAATGTCATGAACTGGCGGTATGCATCAATGAATAACTTAAGAAGTTAGAAACCACTCCGGTCTTCAACTTACCATATTGCATCTACGATAAATGAATCGTCTATCATACAGACAAATAGATAAAAACTACGTACAGCCTTGCACAAATTGCAACGTTTTGCATCATCATAGAACAGAGTATAGAATGGCTGTCAACCGGATTTCTACCTCAACTTCATTGACTTTGAAAACGCCGTCAACAGCGTCGACCGACAAGCAATTTCACAGACAGTTGCTTCAACACTACGCAATACCACAAACCTTTATCAATCTCATTCAAAAACTATATGACGACTCGACATGCCAAGTAATTCACAATGGGAAACTCAGTGATACCTTTGAGGTGAAGTGAAGACAGGAGTAAAACAAGGCTGCCCACTATCACCCATGATATTCCTGATTGTAGTGGACTGGATCGTGCAGCAAACAGTGAGGAGCTGTGAGAAGATGGGCATAAGCTGTTTGATCGATGAAAAGAGCCTAGAAGATTTAGATTTCGCTGATGATTTATGTTTAATGTCGCACAAACTTGAACATCTACAGGCGAAAACTAACAAGTTGACAGAAGAGGCAGGATAGCGAAAATGGGACTTCAAGTGAATGTGGAAAAGACAGAGGTGATGATGATACCCAACCACCACCACCAACAACAACGACAAGCTCCAATCACCATCAATGAGATAAACTTACAGGAAGTAGTCTCTTTCACCTACACCTAACTACGCAGCACTATTTCAACTACAGGTGGCCGAACAGGCACAGACGACGACGTCAAAATCACCCAGCATCCGAATGACAGCAAGACAGGTCTTCATTAACCTGAAACCAATGTGGAGATCTACTGCACTGCACTCAGCAGAAAACGTGAACAACATCCCGATTTTTAACACCAATCCAGTCAAGTAAGTCAGTGCTTCTATATTCTTCACAAACTTGACGCGTTACGAAAGGCATTTCCAACAAACTACACACATTCATCAACAACTGCCCACGCTGGCTCAATATTGAAGATCAGGTCAGATGGCCAGAAAGAATAAGCAAGGAGGAACTCTGGCTGTGAACGAACCAACCAACAACCTATCACTCAACAAATATGCACTGGAAGGAAGTGGAGATGGATAGGGAATGCACTGAGAAGACCATTCGGGGACATCACGTGCCAGATCAGGCCCTCGAGTGGAACCCAGATGGGAAGGGACGAGTTTGGCGTCCCAGTTGAGGGTGATATGGAGGAGATAGCGTGAGGTAGGAATGAGATCTGGGCTGTGGTGTAACCAGGTTCAAAAAATTCCAGAGAATAGTGCACTGGAGACGTGCTACTGAAGCCCTATGTTTCATTTAGGAACCCAAGGGACAAGTAATAATAAATAATAACACAACCTTGCACAACACAACTGGATCGGTTCAAGGTGCCCTTTAAGTGAAGATGACGGTTAGTTTGAATATTCAAGAGTCCTCAACAACAGAGTCCTATCATCTCGAGAATCCTAACCAGGTGTTCCATATATCCTTACACGGTTCACACCAACAGTCAGGGAATGGATAGGTTGATGTCACAACTTAGCCTGCTCTGATTATCAGTCAATGAAGGTTCACAGCTTCATCAACCGACTTGCCTTTCTTGCCTGACCACAACATCGCTCACATAGTGATTTCATCAAATCCGAGTAATGCTACAAAGATATACACCTATGATTGAAAATCTGGAATCACCTCAGACCTTCCACTTTTGACTTCCAAGACTCATAGTCGTATAACTGGACATACAGGGAATGTAACCATCTCTTAACGAATTTAGAATAATAACAATAATAATAATGATAATAGTGTTTGGTCTAACCTGCTTTTCATTATTATCTGTACGATTATCTTCCTGGAGACGTAAGTCATTAGATGAAATAACTTGAGCATCAATTTCAACCGATTGAGAAGTTATTGTTGTTCGACTACATGGTTCTAGTGGTTCATTTTGCAAATATTTCTCTTTACTATGCTCTACTACATTTGTATTGTCAACATTTTTATCTATAATAATTGATAAGTGATTAAGACGTTGTTGAAGACACTTTTCAGCTGCTAATGTAGCTTTCAATACACGATCAGCATGATTTTTCAACTCTAAAACATATTGACTTGTGTTTAAACAAATCTGATATAAATCACTTCTTTGCATTACTTCAATATTGTTATGATGATATGTAGTCATCTGCTCATTTAGACTAGATTGACTAAATTTCCTCTTGACTTCTTGATCATTTTCGAGTTCTTCAAATAAGTGAATATTATCAGAAAAAGTTATTAATGATTGATTATGCAGAATAGGATTAAACTCTGTGTCGGAATTTTCCAATGGTTGTAGGATACTATTGGTCACTAAATCATCTTCAGGATCTGGACTGGAAATGAATGAACTATGATGGATTACACTAGTTGAAGCTGCTGCTGTTACTGACGCCGCCGCTGCCGCCGACAACGTTGTTCGTACATCTAAGCCAAGAAAAATAAGAAGTAGTCGATTATGAATTGATTAAAAGTTTTTTATACCTTCAGTTGTTGTACTGCGTGGTATACAGACTTGATAAATTATACTTTATCTTATCTCCCTGTCTCATAATAATTAGAAATAAGTCAGTCACACACTTATTGTGTAATGGCTAACAACACTATCGTCTGATCTGGCAACCCTAGGTAAGTGAGAAATGGATGGAATTGGACCGCATGAGTTACAACTCCATAACGAAATGCATCCTTGCCTAATCTGTCTATTTCACGCCAGAATACATACATTCAACTTTCTGACCGGTGAATTTCATCATAGTTTCATATTTTCATGAGTTATGATTTATACCAATGAAACCACACAATAAAGACACCAAGCCCCCCCCCCCGCCCTCACCATCCTTCGAACAACCGTTAACTGGCTTTGTAGTGGTTAGTAGTAAAATTCAAGAGGTACGTTTCGCACCATTTAGGACTCATCAGCTAGACGTATGTGTAGCCCAGTAAGTGGTGGTGTTCCTCCCTGAAACTTAAACCCCGTTTACTTATTGCCCATATACTAATACAGACTGATCAATTTAATGCAGTAGAACAAAGGAGAATCGCAAGTATCAACAAATTAGACTGGTGGACACTTTTATTAGCACCATCCTTAATGGCAATCATCTGTCAACCGTTACAAGGCTAAGTGAGTTCTAGTAGACAGTAATGAAGAGCATTTTCAGCTATGGCAGATAATTTTTATTAGTTTTCATCCTTTGAGTTGCATAGTTTGTTCGTGAAGCTTTCATTGTCTTTCGAGACAGTATCATCAGCACTAGTTTCAGTAAGAAGTGAGCTATCAGGATTTTGGCAATAATAACTTAGTGGCCTAATCCTGACGACAGATCTTTGGGTTGATGTAAGTTCAAGGCTATGGTCACAAGAAGTAAGAGTACTGGTCAAAAAACCATTTCAATACCAAAATACAAAGTCATCCACAGGAGTTAGAAAACGGACTATCCAACCATAACACCAAGAAGACATCAGAAATCAAGACAAGATTACTGAGACTAAAGGAGGCAACAGTCAAAGAGGATAAATAGAATATCATTAACTGTAGTAATAGTGATCAACACTACACTGGACAAAGTGGACCTTAGGGTCTTAGGTATGTCTGACTCCACGGGAAATGATCTTCTCCTTCAAGGTAATCTGATTGACTTAGAGTATGTAGACGATATTGTCATTCTGGTTAGATATGGTGTAATAACGCTGGGTCTTCTGAACGCGTTGAGCAGAAAACTGAGTATGTTTGCCTGGCATATGTTTCGCACCCGAAAAGTGTGATATGCTGTGAGTACTCCCAGTTTAATAATAGGGGATAAAGTAGTGGAATGTGTCAACCAATTCACTTGTGAAGTGGTTGCTGACGGAATCTCAACTCGAACACTGAAGTCGCGTTTGGCATTTGCCAACTTGAGTCACCTATGGAGCCGACTGGCGAGATATCCGAATATCTATCAAAGGATGAGCATACTGCACTGCAGTTTGTTATCTCATCTTATATGGCTGTGAAACGCGGCCGTTGAAAGTAGATATAAAGTAGTTACAGGGTTTTGATCAAAGGTCTCTTGATAGTATCGCTTTGATTGGTAGGATCATCATGTGTGCAATGTTAACTTCAGGTAAAGAGTACTAGGCAAGAAAACCAAGTCGATTGAGATGGCTTGAATATGTACTGAGTATGCCAAGTCGCCGCTAATTACCTAGAGGCGCCATGCAAGAGGATGTCTAACGGCTGAAAATCGATCAAAGTCGTACAGATGTATTCACTCATTGATGTTTTCTAAAGCTTGAATATTTCAAATAACCTTCATCTTCAAATTGTTTATCCTCTCATACAAATTCTTGAACTTCGATGTCAGCCTGTTTCTATGCGCTTGTTCTTTGTATACTACTGTGAATAGTGGTAATGTGAACCGATGCACTTCTGTGCGAAGTTCTACGTTTATTCTCTCTGTCTGTTCGTCTTAACAAAGTGGTTACCCTTTTGGCCTTCATTAGGTAAACAACAATTGGCCATTACACATCATGATACCTCATCGCTCATTTTAGGGTACGTGGATAATTATGGGCATGAATTCAACTTTGATAATGTAGAAATGTTGAACGGAGAGAGGAAACGCAAAGAATATTAGACGATTCTTAGAAGCTTGGCATTCAGATCAGTCAGTCACTAATCAATATGCATATAGACATGAACTTATCTATCAATCAATAAGAAAAATGATAGACGATAGAAAGATCAGAGGTCAAGCTGAGGAATAGTCAACAGGAAAATCTATTCAGTGAGTCAATGACACAACAATGAAAGGAAACAACCAATCAAAAACCAGTTGGTCAGGTCAAGCTACGGAATCACTCATGAAAAGATATTGACAGCTCACTTCATACTGAAGTTAGTATTGATGATGATGCGGTCTAGAAAGTCGATGAGAGCTTCACGTTCAAACGAATAAAGCTAAGCGAATGCAGCATAGCGAACATTCAGAAAAGTGTTCAGTACCATAGCATACTTGTTTAAGACTCCGTTTTCATCTAAAACCTGCCATAAGAACTCCTGATCGAAAAACACTTGAAAGCATAAATAAAATTTATCTAAGTACTGACTAAGAAACACTTTAATCAGAGCGATGAAGTTGTCAGTCGATTTACCAAGAAGCTGAGACAGATACAATCAACGCAGAACCCTAAACAAAAGTGCGTCCCCTCAACTTCCACACTCCCCTTTTATTATTGATTACTCCTTTTCCTTTGAACCTCGCCTGGTTAAATAGTTCACAAGTTACTAGCCGGTCCTAGGCCCGGGTAAAGAGGGAAGGTTGGGCATAGGGCTAGAGACCCTACCCCGTAAAACAAATCTAACCTCCAAAGAAACTTCAAAGCACAAATGATCTATAAAAAATAATAACAAAATTATTCCTCATTGGAATCGGAGAGACGAAATAACGCCAGTTGGTGAAAACCTTCGGGAAGCCAATTGGCCGATGTGTCGACTCTCCTCTCGGTGAAAGCGAAAGTAAACGTGGGGACATGGAATGTCTGCACCATGTTTGAACCCAGCAAGGCAGCCCAGATTGCAAACGACATGAAGAGGCATCACACTGAAGTGCTTGGAATCTGAGAAAGCAAATGGAATGGAAGTGAACTCTCCAAACTGTCAACTGGACAATCAATAATCTACTCCGACACTGTCACCCAGACAACAACCACGAGCACAATGAGTTTTGGGATGGCTATCATGATGTCCCCTTGAAGAGCATTGAAGGCTCACTCTCATGCAGTGGGAACCAATCTCCTCCTGCTGGATCATAACAGCAAGGTTCAACTCAAAAGGAAGGAAGGTCACAATCATACAATGCTACAAGCCTACAAATAATGCAGAGCAAGAGGTAAAGGAGGAATTCTACAGACAACTTCAATCAACAATGGACAAGACCCCATCTCAGTTGGCGATATCAAAATTCTAATGGGTGGGGTGACATGAATGCCAAACTGGGAGGGGACAACACAGGAAGAGAACAAACCATGGGTCGAGAAGAGCTCGGTGAGGTGATGAACGAGAATGGAGAATTGTTTGCAGAATTCTGTGCATTCAACGATTTGGTGATTGGAGGCAGTGTGTTCAAACACAAGAATATCCACAAAGCGACATGGATTTCATTTCACCAGACACCAGGACACACTAAAAATCAGTTCGACTTCATCTCAATGTGAAGAAAGTGGAGATGCAGTCTACTTGACACTAGGTCAAGAAGAGGAGCAAATGTAGGTTCACACCACTATCTAGTGCAAGGAACCTTCCAAATCAAGTTGAAAGCCTTCAAGGAAGCTGGTGATAGACCTCAGTTCAAGTACAACACTCGGAAACTGAAGGACGAAACGACAAAGGAAATCTTCACCGCAGCCATCAAGACAAAATATGAGACATCGAGGAACATCACTGAAGAAACCTGTGTGCAAGAACACTGGAAGTCTTTGAAAGAGATGTGGAAAGAAACCTGAACAGCCGTATTAGGAAGGAAGGAGAAAGAAGATAAGGAATGCATATCAGTGGATACCTGGAAGCTGATAGAGGAGAGGAGGATGGTGAAGCAGAAGATAAACCAGTGCAAGAATGCTCAACGACTAGAGGAACTGAGTACAATGTATAAACCACTGGGCAAGGAAGTGAAGAAGAGTGCAGGGAAAGACAAAAGACACTTCTACGAAACACTGGCAAGTGAAGCAGAACAGGCTGCAGGTAGGAGAGACAGAGACCTGACAACATTGTATCAAATAACCAGGCTGCTATCTGGGATGTTAGAGATCAAGACAGTGCAGACGAAACCAATAAAAGATGGTGACGGAAATTTAATCAAGAAAGAAGAGAAACAAAAGAAACAATGGGCTGACCACTTCAAGAAGCTATTGAATCGACCACCACCACCACCTACACTTCGTCCAGAAATACCACATACAGCCGCTGAACTACAAGTGAACATAAATCCTCCAACAAAAATGGAAGTCTTGAGTGCCATAAAGCTACTGAAATGCTGGAAAGCAGCAGAACGAGACGGGATCCCGCCAGAAGCACTGAAAACAGACGCGAAGACAACAGCAGTGGACATACTCACACCACTATTGCAGAAGGTATGGAAGGAAGAGAAGGTACCTACCCATTGATTGGAAGAAGGGTTATCTTGTCAGACTCCCGAAGAAGGGAGACCTCAGTGTTTGCAAGAACTGGCGAGGAATCAGTCTCATTCAACAGCTAAGCTATATGACGACGCCACATGCCAAGTAATTCACAACGGGAAGCTCAGTGATGCTTTCGAAGTGAAAACAGGATTGAAACAAGGTTGCCCACTATCCCCCATGATATTCCTGATTGTAGTGGACTGGATCGTGCAGCAAACAGTGGGGAGCGAGAAGAGGGAGATAGGCTGGACTGCGGAAAAGAACCTAGAAGATCTGGATTTCGCCAGTGATGACTTCTGTCTAATGTCACACAAACTTGATTATCTACAGGCGAAAACTAACAGGTTGGCAGAAGAGACAGGGCAACGAAGACGGGACTTCAAGTGGATATAGAGAAGACAGAGGTGATGAACGTACCACACTAACAACCCCAACAACAACAAACTGCAATCGCCATCAACGGGAGAAACTTAAAGGAAGCAACCTCCTTCACCTATCTAGGCAGCACTGTTTCAACTACACATGGCACTGACGAGGATGTCAAAACCAGTCAGAATCGGAAAAGCAAGACAGGCGTTCATTAGCCTGAAACCAGTGTGGAGATCTTCTGCACTGCATTCAGCATGTGGAACAAGATCCGAATTTTCAACACTAATTCAGTCAAGTCAGTGCTTCTGTATGGTTCAGAGACTTGAAGTGTTACGAAAGAGATTTCCAATAAACATTCATCAACAACTGCTTACGCTGACTCGATACTGAAGCTCATATGGCCAGAAATAATAAGCAACAAGGAACTCACTCTGCCTTGCAACGAACCAACCAACAACCTATCACTCAACAAATATGCACTGGAAGGAAGTGGAGATGGATTGGGCATATACTGAGAAGGCGACTGGGGACATCACATGCCAGGTCAGGCCCTCGAGTGGAACCCAGATGGGAAGTGACGAGTTGGGCGTTCCAGTTGAGGGTGACGTGGAGGAGATCGTACGAGGAGGAAACGAGAGCTTGTGGGCAGTGATGAAGCCAGTTTGAAAAGATTTCAGAGAACAGAGTGTAGTGGAGACGTGCTACGGAAGCCTTATGTTCCATTAGGAACCCAAGGGACTGATAATAATAATAATTTTTCCTTTGGGTTACTAGTGGAACATAGGGCTTCAGCAGCACGTCTCCATTCCACTCTCTTCTCTGCAGTCTTTTCAACCTGGCTCCACGACTGCCCACAAGCTTCCTCCTCACACCATCTTGCCCATATCACCCTCAATTACGACGCCCAAATCGTCGTCTCCCTTTTGGATTCCACTCGACGGCCTCACGTGGGGCGTGATGTCCCCAGTCGGCCGTCTCAGTGTGTGCCCAATCCATCTCCACATTCTCCTTCTGCATATTTGTTGGATGATAGGTTCTTGTTTTGTTAGTTCGTTCACAGAGTTTCCTGTTGCTTATTTTTTGTAGCCATCTGATCTTCAGTATCGAGTGAGTGTAGGTGGCAGCTGTTGATGAATATCTGTAGTTTGTTGGAAATGCTTGTCGTGACACATCAAGTTTCTGAACCATCACATAGAAGCCCTGACTTGACGTTGGTGTTGAAAATCCGGATGTTGTTCTTGTTTATGAGTACAGTAGATATCCACACTGTTTTCAGATTAGTGAAAGCCTGTCTTGCTGTCATTCCGATCCTGGTTTTGACATCCTCGTCTGTGCCTGTGCCGCCACCTGTAGTTGAAACGATGCTGCCTAGGTAGCTGTATAGGTAGAAGAGACAAATTCTTTTAGATTTTTCCCATTAATAGTGGTTGGTGCTTGTTCTTGATCTTGTTGTTGTTCGTTGGGTATCTTCATCACCTCTGTCTTTTCTACGTTCACTTGAAGTCCCATTTTCGCTGCCTAGCCTCTTCTGTCAACTTGTTAGTTTTGCCTGTAGATCTTCATGTTTGTGTGACACTGAACAGAAATCCACTTTTACACTGATCAAATTCAACAAATACGTCTAAATAAATACTTGTAAAATCTATACAAATCGATAATAATAAAAACTTACCAGGTTTATTTTTTCGTGATACATCATACCAGAGATCATCGTGATTGATTCTTGTAGTAAAGTTACGCTTTCTACAATGAGAATAACTGTATTTTGAAGTAGAAGATAAATAGGCAGTACCACATGATGGCCAGGTTAGTGCAACACTGATATCAGAATCTCCATAATCATTATAATTTAAATGACGACAAGAATGACTGGAACGTGAATGAATTCTTGAAACATTCAGGTGATTTGAAGCTAAATCTCCAGCATAATCCCATTTTAATACATCAAGATTTCCAGGGATTGTATCGAACTGTACATTTGATTCAGTAGTATATCCCAATGTTTGATTGGAGGAAATATTCTCTTCTATCTCAGAAACATGTAGCGGGAATCCCTAAAGTTTCGTACACAAAAAATATACTACTTGTGCATATAATAGTAGTGTAAATCGTTGAAAGAAAAATAGAAAAATTGCTTACTTGTTTGGACACCGTTGGTGTAGGTGTGGCTGGTAAACTATTCATATTAGAAGTGAAACATTTTCCTCTATTCACATCTGTGCTCAGGTCAATAGATGATTTAGCATTTGTAATACAACTTTCACTTCTTCTTATACAATCACCTACAATCGTTGAATGCATAAACTTAATCGGTGTAGGTGAGAGGAATGATGTCTGTAAAACCGAAGAGAAGGAAACAAACAAAGAATTTTGAATGAATACAAAATTTATGGAAATCTCGATATAGACGGAATTTGAAGCAGAGCACCGTCTCACTTTCAATCATCACCACCATCACAGGTTCGATGTGACAATTTTCATCTTACCTTGTCTCATCATAATTTAGTCGCAGAATTTAAGACACATGTTTCGTCCTATCCAAGAGTCATCAGCTTCATATACCTACATTCCAGTGAATGTTACAGTTCCCAATGACACTCAAGTTATGCACTCAACGTTTCAATAGACTACTGAAACACAAGAATCAACTTCTATTCAACAGGTATCAGTTTCTACTGTTGATTCATACTTATTCTATCCATATTCTTAAATCATAACCAATTCATCGACATATGTTGGAATAAAAACTACTGTGAAGTAGATAGTCTTGTACAATATTGATAAGATGTTATTAGCTGTCACTTAGGTTTCGAATTGATTGCATATATTTCTTCATTGTATTATTTCTGTCCATATTATTCAGAGTTTTATTCAAAGAAAATGGTTTGAGCAACTTCTCAGTGCAGTTTCTTACCTAGTCGATAAAAGATGTCATGAGTAGTATCAAAACAGACAGACAAAATCAATGTAAAACCTCCCATATACCTGCATCACTCTAACTTGTCATACACTTCATAGTAGTATACAAAGAATAAGTGAATAAAAAATGGGTGATATCGAAGTAGATGAAGTGGTTTGACAGAGTCTAGCTTCAGAAGATGTCAACGAGTGAATATATTTGCTTCACTGCTACTGTTTTTTAGTCATGTCACCGAGGATATTCAATCATTGATTCTTTTCGTCTTGAGGACCCCCTAATCAGGGAGTCTACATCTCTTCACATGGCTCAAATAGCCATGAACCATCCTCAAACCTAATTCTTCTTTGTCTAGCATCGCATATCAACAGCCATATCTCAAACGACAGAATCGGCTGCAGGGTACTATACCCATCCTTTGATAGACAGTCGAATATCTCATCGACTCCATGGATGATACGAGTTGATAAATATCAGAGGGGACCTTCTGCATCCAACCTGAAATTTTTTCAGCAAACAGTCCATTATTCGGGCTGATGCAGACTTATGTATACGCACTTCTGAGGAGTCATATACTATGATGACCTTCAAATTGAATTACTTCATCAACAGAGAATTGAAAATAAACTCCGTAAACTATAATATCAGTTTCATCTATTCATATGCCTATTGAACATACCTCTGATTCACTAGTGGATAAGTTTTCTAAATTATTATATGGAAGTGTAAAACCTTCAGGGGTTTCACGTCCATTTTGTAAAATACAAGGATTATTAGTATACTTTGAATTATTGTCTGGATTTGTAGAATCATTTGTTAGTGGACTTGTTAAAGGAGTTAAATCAGGTGATGAAATTGGTGCTGGCAAATATACACCAAAACGTTGACATGTCAAAGGAATTGGCAAACAGATATCCATATGACAGATACTACTTGATATCGATTCAGTATCCATCTATTAAGAAAGTAGAAAAGAATAAGGAATAACAAACAATTTAACAACAAAAATGAAATGAATATCCCCCTAAAACACTGATTGGTCACTTTTAGGTTAACCAATTTCATATTGTCAGGACCTGGCTAACTGCTGTCCGACTTCAATCAATCATCTTTTTGCATTGTGGTTAAACAAAGTATGAATGAATCTGTGATTAATTAGTCCATTAGGGTAACTTTCAACTAAATGAATCACAGGTTCAAACCTACACTCCACTTATCAAGGTTTGGGCAGCCGGACGATAGTAACATCAGCCCTCACATACACAGACAGTAGGTATGGCTCACTGCCCCCCCCCCCTCTACTGTACGAATATGAACAAGGTTACCGAGTGCATTTCAATCCGATCCGACCAAACTAAGCTCACCACCATTGAAGAGCAGTTTCATGGATGTAAGATAGTTGGAGGCGATAGGAAAGAAGATAACCATGTATCACCTAGTTTTCATGCTTTTTGTCACTCATCAACAAAGCTTATCGATAACCTCAAAGGAACTGATGTTCTCTGTGAGAATCGATCTTGCATCGCACAGTGTTCCGGTCAGCGACATTCAGATTTCGATTAACCTCACAATAATCACTGCTGCTTATCGATAATCTCATGTGAACGAAAGAACGAACGAAATGCACTCAACCACATAATGCACATCTGTGCAGTTGGCAATGAGTCACACCTATTGTGTGAAGACCAGTAATACTACCAGGCTGATCGAACCTCGGTAGATGGAGTAGGACTCGAACCTGAGACGCAATGCTTGATAATCATTGCAGTAAACCATTAAGACATAGGATTTAATGTATATCCAATGCTAAAATGGAGCTTGAGAACAACAAACTGGGGAAAAGAAGGCAGGTTTCAGACCTTGTCGAGAGTACGTTGATAATATTTTCACCCTCCAAAAGGTTCCGAAACATAGGTATACCAACCAATGGCTGACACTTACAGTATTTCTTAGCCTGAAGGTGGTATTTAACTCTGTCGAACATGATGTCTTTCGGAATAGTCTGACTGTGAGAGGACTATAGAAAAAGTATACAAGGCTCATCAAAACTTTCTACTTGAAATAACGCAACCATGTAAGTAATTATGCAGAGTTGTCATCAGAACTGACAACTAGTGGTGTCCATTAAGGTTGCCAACTACCACCATTCCTATTTAACTTCCTCATAGATACACCAACGGACAAAACCTTAGGTAGGACTGACTTCATAACGATTGATCTACTTCCAAGAGGTTATCTGGTTGATTTGTAGTATACAGACAACATTGCCCTCCTGGCGAAGACGCTGATAAAATGCAGAGACTTCTGAACGCGTTGAGCGAAAATCTGAGTACGTTTCGCATAGATTTCACACTTGTCGTATGTAGGGTGAGGCTCCAGGATTGATTTGCTGCAAGTAGTCCCAGTTTATTGATAAGCTGTGAAGGTGGAATGTTTTGACTACTTCACTTACTTGGGGAGTTGCATCAGTTCGAACTGGCTGATTGCTGACAAAATTTCAGCTCGGAAGGCACTTGTCAACTCGTGTCACCTGTGGCGCCAACTGGGAAGATATCCAACTATTTATCAAAGGATGAATTACATTGCGCCGTAATCCATTCTGTCCCCTTGTACAGCTGTCAGACATTGCCATAAGCCAACAGAGATTCCTTAACGTTGTGGTGATTGGGCTTTCATATGATAATGACGCAACGATCCACACTACCTAAAAGGCTTCTTCTCTCCAGGTCCTACTATATCAGGAAGGTCTCTTGGATAGTGGTATCACAAAAACCAGTTGCTATACTACACTAATGGGGGTCCAAGAGTGAAGTCATACTGCCAGCTGGATGGGGAGTGAAAGCAGTAAGGCGTTTCCCACGGATGACCAACAGTATTATGCTGATGCTCCCTCCCCTATGAGGAGAGTGGCAAGGTTAGAAAAGGTCGGCACTAACAATACCACGCTTTCATTACCCCATGGTATACCGGCACCGTTGACATGTGTTCCTAGTCGGTTTTAAAAGGGATAAACCAATTTCTTTAACTTCTAAAACCCCCGTGTCTGATTGTCTTCATATACACATGTCTCTTGGGCTGTACAGTCAAAAATTAAACCTTTTTCAGGTACCTTAAGAACCTCAAGACAGAGGAGGAACAATTCGATCAAGAATAACAACATGAAAGTATAAGTATCAATTATTGATAGTAAGTTTTCATATTTATCACTCCAAGATGAGCATATTGATTAGAATTGTCATTTATAATAGGGAACTGTTTAGATAGACATTTTGGAGTATAGTACACAAAAAATCATTTGACAAGTTAATTGAGTGACCTGATTTCATAATTTATATTGTCATACGAATAGTACATCGGTTGACTGAGTTGACTAATTCACTCACATGGGAAGTCAGATCAGCCTTAATGAGTCAGTGCTTGACCAAATCTCTGCATGGATACAAAACGTTCGTTAATGACTTTCCCCAACTTACACCATTAATCGCGGCATTGAGATATCCGGTCACCTATTAATGGTAGAGTGTACTGAGCTGAATTTCGGCTTGTCCTTCTCTATAGCTGTGAAACATGACTAGAAAAAGGTAGAGGATATAGAAGACTTCAACTGTTCGTAGAATAGGCTGTGTGCCGTGTTGTTACCGCATGAGTAAAACAGTAGTCAGGTGTAGAGTTCTAGGGAGGGGAGGAATGTCAGTTGTTGACGTTGTTAAACTTTATCAACCGTCATGTCTCAGAAATGTGTGACACATGCCTGGTCACCGTCTACGTTATCCTATAATGTTAGCTGAAGTAGGTTTAGGCTGTAAAAAGGTTAATCGTGGTCAGACTAAAACATGGCTTCAATGCATGAAGTCCTTGACTGTTGGTTTCAGCCGTGAAAGAGAGATGAAGACTAGCCTGTTGAAATCCACGTGACAACAAAAAGCAACAGTGGTTGGAGACTCTACTTGATATGGATCAGAATAGATGTCAGTAAAGAAGATGTATTCCACACACATAATGCCCATCTTCGTCGTCATGCTGAATTCAGGGTTTAAACACTCCTTCTTCTTCTAATTAACTGCTATCTTCTGCTTTCGACCGATCCCTCTCCATTTCTCTCTCTCTTCACATTGCTTTGTTGTTGTTTTAAGTGCCAATGAGATGAGGCAACTTGGATCCTTATGTAATAATGCCTAGTCATATGTTGATATTGATGATGGTGAATGTAGTCAAGTGGAAAGAACTAGGTCGATCACTGAATCTCCGCTGATCGATTCAACACAGATCAAATTTGGCAGGAATTATTAGGCACTGATAGATAGATAGATAGATAGATAGAAACAAAAACAACTTACAATCTCTCACACAACTGCATCATCTCAAGTTGTCACACTTCACAGTAGTATACAAGCAACAAGCGGACAGAAACAAACTGATATCAAGAAAGAATAAACAATCTGAAGATGAAGGATAGTGCAAATATTCAAGCTTTAGAAGACGTTGAAGAGTGAATACATCCCAAAGAGTTCTCAACCACTATTCATATTACCTCGATGACCCCAGTCAGGTAGTCTACACATATCCACAAGGTTGGAACCAACCCAATCACATTTCGTGCACTGATCCCACTTCTTAATCTGATCACCTTGAACCCTGTTCCCACTCAATCCAACTTCTATTGCTATTGGACTTCTAGGTACACCATGATTTGTCATGCGCAACACATATCCTGACCACCTCAATCAATGAAGGATCACAGCTTCTCTAATTGGCTTGCCTATCTTGCTTAATGACCTCCTGACTTTAACATTCCTCACATGGTGATCCCAACAAACACGAGCAATTCAACGAAGACATCTGTGACCATAACCCTGAAGTCGCTTCATATCTTCTACATTTAACGGCCATATACCACGACTAAACAACAGACAGAACAGAATGCAGCTGAGTATACTAATTCTTTGAGGTAGGTAGTCGGATATTTCGCAGTCGGTACCAGAGATGACAAGATGTGGCAAATATCAAACGAAGCTTCTCTACCCCACCTGAAATTTTGTAAACAACCAAACTGTTCGGGCTGTTGTAACTCCCCAAGTAAATGAAGTAGTTGGCGAATTTCCACGAATTCACTTCTTATCAGTAAACTAGGAGTACTTGCAGTCCAGTCCTGCACCATCATCTTACATTTGACACGTTCGAAAAGCATGCAAACATACTGAATTCTCCTCATCAAATTCACAAAATCCTGAATTGCATCAGCGTCCTCACCAAGCGGGACAATATCGTCTGCATACTCCAAGTTAACTAAATAGTCTTTATGGAGTAGGTCAGTCCACATGAAGTTAGATATACCTAAGGTTATGCCTATGACTAAGTTAAATAGGAACGGTGACAAAGGACATCTCTGTCGCACACTACTGGTTGTCATCAGTCCTAAAGACAGACCTCTGTGAGCATTTACACAGTTGCATGAGTTCCAGTAGAGAGTTTTGATCATTATTATGTCCTTTATCATTACTTCTCTCACAGTCAGACATTGCCACAACACCTTGCGGTCGACAGAGTTAAATACCACCTTCAGGACAAGGAAAATGGCAAGTATCAGCTGCCGGTAGGTATGCTCATGTTCCAGAACCTGTTGGATGATGAAAATATGATCAATGTACTCTTGATTAGATTTGAAGCCTACCTGGTTTTCTCAAGTTTGTTGTTGTCGTGAGGCGTCAGGTATATAAGGACCCCAGAATCTCCAACCAATATTAGTCAAACTAATTTCCTTATGGTTGCAGCGAAAAGATTTCCCTCTTTTTTATAGAGTGAGACGATCAGTGAACTAGACCAGTCTGACGAAACCAATACTGATTCCTATACATTATCTGGTATTTCTGTCACTCTTATCAGCGATTTCCTACCTTCATCCTAAAAAACTTCAGGTGGCAAACTGGCAGATGCGGCTGCTTTCCAGCGTTTCAGTTTCGATACAAACTTCTTAAATTCAAGAACAGTTGGTGAACCGACACCTGCATCCCATTCAGATTCAGGTTGGATGTTGGGCAACTGAAGCGTTGCTGGGGGCCGGTTTAAGTGTTCTTCAAAGTGTTCTACCCAATGTCCTAGCCACCTATACTGGAAGACTATCACCATTCCATGCTTTTCGGTGATACTTTAACTCGCCATCTTCTTTTTGCCAGCATTCTGACTAAGCCTAAGTACTTGCTAAATGCTACCCAAGGATAACATCTCCTCTATCTTTCTAGCTCTCGGCACTCACCACTGGTCACGATCGACGTCAACTTACGTAGGAGTTACTTTCGCTCTTCATCGTAGTCAGGTAGAACCATTCTTCTGGCATCAATCAGCTTGTATGACGCCTATAAAATCCAGTAACGTCTGTTAACCTTCGGATGTAGGTTACCAATTTTCTTTATCAACAGGTTGCTTCATCCGCCTTCACATAATTAGTGTGGCCCATTGTCTACTGCAAAAGTGTGTGCAACGTTGTTGAATGCGACTTTATCATATCCTGTTTTAAAACTGAGCATTGGTTCTTCAATAACAAGTCTGAGATTTTTCTTTTTCCTTCGTTGCATCAATGAATTACCGAAAATGTATGAATCTTCGGTGCTCTTATTCACCGGAAACACAACAGTTTGAAGAGCCATCTGGGATGGTAGAGACAGGAATAGACTACGAAGGGACTTTGATGAACTGGCTGGTTGATCTGAATATTATTGGCCAGAAATCAATTCTAGCAAAAGTGCAGTAGTGCAAATTAGCCATAGTAACTATCATAAGTTTTCCATTGATGAAATTTCGCCGTGCTGAGTTTTCGAAAAACATTTGGGTGTGTCCATGAGTCACGATCTCAAAATGACCATGCACTGCAATGCATCTAAAGCTAAAGGTTTATCCGCCTTATGGTTCTTATGCAGGATATTCAAGACTTTCGATCGTGATATGTCCAAGTTACACTATTTTATATGCATACGATCTCATTTACAGTAATCCAATCAGCGGACTATTTCTTTCTTCAGAGAATATACCAATATACTTAGTTCTGTGGAAAGCTTGGGAAGTGTTTCGACCCTTTGAAAGAAAGGCTGCTAAAACCAAGTGAATTTATTCCTGCTGCGTTTTCATAGAACAAAATGTGACCGTATAGTGGCACTCCGTATTCCTTAGAATAACCTTTATACCGACACATCTCATGTTTATTCTTCCTAAAGAGAAGCCACTGCTTCAGAGGTCACAACTGGAAACTCTCAAAGCTGGAATCCAACCTATTTTCATCGAAAACTTGTATTTGCCATACAGAAAGGTTATTGACAAGGACCCTTTACCCTCGCTAAACTCCTCCAATGACAGACTAGATCTTTACAAACATATTTATCGTAGGAACTAACAAAAACCGACCTGACTAATATCTCTATGAATGAAGATTATGTTGCACAAGAATGTCATGTCACGTTCCATAGGCACAAGTGACTTCCGTATCAAAAAGCAAACTATCAATCGACGTTGTTAGCTTTGTTAGAAAGTCCAAGAAAACTCCCTTATAACCTAATGAGGAATATGCAAAACTTAAAGGGAAATGTGAAGTTTTTATGTTGGTGAATACTACTTGATAAAAGCTTTCAAAAATTTCTCCCACCTTTCCTCAAACATTTCTCCACAATTAATAGATCTTGATAATCCTCAACTATTTTGCATTAAAAACCTTCAACCAAGACCTGGTAACGTCACAATAAAACCATGATCTATCTGTTGATCTGCATAACCCTAGTCAGTACTTTTTCATAACCAATACTACAGTGATTTACTGAAAACATCGTACAGATTTTCCAACATGATTAATAAGCATTTCAAGATTATTCCCATCAATCCTGATAGAATACGTGGCTTTTGTAGCAGAACGGTACAAAGTAAGAACAAAAACCTCCAGGTAAAATCATAAAATACATGCCAGACATATACCTACCTGAGAAACGCATATACGACGCTAAAAACAAAATAGTTGCATGCGAAAGTCACTAATGTGGTGATGTGAAAAAACAAAACTTTTAGTGCTTCATGGCTAATGATCAATATCCCTCTGACAGGGTAATGAAAGGCACCTGACTTATAAATATTCCCCTCTAGGTTTTATGAAACCGTTTCTTTCTCTTCCAATATCCAATATCCAATATTGATAGTGCGAGCGTAGAAAACTAGTAGTTTTTGATCTCTCGCGTCTAGTTCTTAGGGCTTGGTTCCAGTTGTTCGGTTCACTCCTGCAGTGGACGAGGAAACACCCTCTGCTTTCTTGCTTTTAGCTTCGGTGAGGTGGATGTTTTGTGGGTTAGTAGGTTGTAATTTGTAGAGTGATTAGGGAGCTACGGGCTGCTGGGAAGTTTAGAGAACAACCGTGACTCCTGTCTGTGTAGGTACCTGAAAGAGAATATTAAGGTAGTGGTAAAGGAATGAAGAGAGAAGTAAGGAAGAGTAAAAAAAAAAAAAAAATAAAAAAAAAAAAAAATAAATAAAATTAAAAATAAAAATAATAGTAATAATAATGTAGGGAAGAGGAAAGGGAAGGAGAATAAAAGAAGGGGTGAAGAGAGAAATGAGAACGAAAGAAAAGTATTTGGGAATTGCCTGAATGGTCTTTTTTTTGCGTGGCCTACAGAAGAATTAGTAGGTAATGTGGGTGTATTAAGGAGAGAGATAGTGAGTGGTAGTTAGGAGGGAGTTGGGGGTACTGAGGTTGGTGACTACCTGAGTACGTCCGTGGTAGTCCATGCGAGGTGACATAACTGTCTAATCGCCTCTTGAAAGAGTCGATTGAAGGAGCTATAACGATGTGTCGCGGTAAGGCATTCCATAAAGCACATACTCTCAGGGAGAAAAATTTGGACCTGAGTGTGGTGTTGGCTCTCTGGTGTGCTATCTTAAAGGGGTTTCCTCGTGAAGATCGTTCAGTTGCAGGCAAAATTGATTTGTTTGCATGGTCTGCCTGATGGGCGATCTTGTATGCCATAATGAGGTCACCCCTTTTCCTGCGATAACCCAAGGTAAATAGGTTGAGGTGTTTAAGTCTTTCAGGATACGTCTTTCCCCTTAGCCCCACAACTGATTTTGTTGCAGTTCTTTGTATTCTTTCAAGGAGATTAGAGTCTCTCTTGAGTGTTGGAGGAGCCACCGTATTGAAGACCTCTAGGTGCGGCCGCACGTAGGATTTGAAAATGGTGAGGAAGAGTTCGGGAGTGAGGGCGCCAAGCTGTCTACGCAGAAAGTGTAGAATGGCGTTCGCTCTGGTTGTCATACCTTTGTAGTTGGAGCTGGTGTCCAAGGTGTCGGAGAAGTTGAGCCCCAAATCTTTCTCCATGGACACTCTGGTGATAGCACGGTTGCTCAACATGTACTGGAAGTCGGTCGTACTTGCCTCATTTTTACTGATGTGCATTACTTTGCACTTTTCCAGTTGAAGCTCAGACCATTTTCCGACGACCAGAGCTCGAGTTGCTGCAAGTCCTTTTGTAGTGCTGCACAGTCGGCTTCTTCGTTTACCACCCTCCAAATTTTTATGTCGTCAGCGAAGAGGAGGATGGGTGAGGATATTTTGTCTGGCAGATCGTTGACAAAGAGGAGGAACAGAAGCGGTCCTAGGATTGCTCCTTGGGATACTCCTGACGTCGACGGTCTCCACTCCGACCTTATTCTGTTCACTTTAGTGCAGAACTGCCTCCCTTCCAGGTACTCCTTGAACCAAGAGAGTAGGGGTCCACTTATACCAGCTGACATGATCTTGTGAAGCAGTACTGTGGGTGGGACACTGTCAAATGCTTTGGCTAGGTCGAGAAATACAGCATGTACAGGTTTTCTATTATCCCAGCTTTGTGTCCAGTCGTCCCAGGCAGTTAGTAAGTTGGTGGCACATGAGCGACCACTACGAAAGCCGTGCTGAGCAGTGTGGACAGTGTTTTCTCTATTGAGGAATTCCCAGATGGTGTCAGCTACCAGGCTTTCCAACACTTTCGACACAATAGGGAGTAGGGCAATCGGCCTGTAGCTGCCAGGGTTTTTTCTGTCTCCTCCCTTGAAGATGGGTGACAAGATGGCACTCTTCCATTCTTTAGGGAGTTTGCACGAGTCTATTGAGTGCTCAAAGAGGTTGCGAAGTGGTTTGGTAAGCACCTCGGCGCAGTTTTTCAGAACCACTGGTTTCAGATTATCGCAGCCAGGGGACTTGCCCGGACGTAGCCTAGATAGCTTCTCGAACACCTTTTTCTCTGTAATAGAGACGTGACAGAGGTATTCGTTATTTGCGACCTGGTCGGTGTCGTGGCGAGTCGGTGTGGATCTTGTGTCAGTGCTGAGTTGGGCTTGGAAGTGTGAGCTCAAAAGCTCGGCAATCTCTAGACTGCTTAGCACACTCCCGTCATGGCCTGTGACAAGATTCACTCCCTTACTGGTCGACTTTCTTCTTGACATGAAGCGGTACAGGTTTTTGGGGTTGCTTTGTAACCTCGCTGCCAAGTTTGTTTGGTAGGAAAATCTGTCGTTACGCACTCTAATGTTACAGAGATTGCGAATCCTTTTATAGTTCAAGAAGTCAGACTCCCTGCGTGATGTAAGCCACTTGAACCAAGCCTGCTTCTTGCTCCGGATAAGCCTCTCTGTCCCACGCTTTAACCATGAGGTTCTCATTGATTGTCTGTGTGTTACTTCTGGTACACTGTGACTGATGGCCCCAGTGATTATTTTCTTCACCTCCAACCAGTGTTCATCTATTGTGAGATGAGTCCAGTCCACTGGCCATGATGCATTCATGAGGTAGTCCCTCATGGTCTCATAGTTGGCCTTGCTGTAGCAAGGGAAGGTGTTGGGCGTCTCCAGTTGCAGAGCCTCCCTAGTTATCATGGAGAAGGTGATTACAGCGTGGTCACTGAGGCCAAGGGGAGGTTGGATGCAAACATCCTCAATGAGAAGTTCATCGTTCGTCAGAACGTAGTCAAGGCGCGATGCGTTTCCGTTAGGTCCCCAGCGTGTAGCATCACCCACTTTCTCTGAGAGGCCAGCAGTCTTAATTGCATCCTTCAGCTTCTGATTGAAGGATCTGATGCGTCTCCCTTCCGTCTCGAAGAGGATGGACGGGGTGTTGAAGTCGCCGGCAATGACTACGGAATCGTAATTTGCAGAGGAAGTCGTTAAGATAGCCTTGATGATCATTTCCTTATGTGTAGGGGAGCAGGTGGGGGACCGATATATGACTCCGAGCAAATATTTGGTACTGTGGAGAGTGAAGTAGCACCATAGGGACTCTGGGAGCTGGGTTAAGGCCGTATCGCTAACCATCCTTGCCTTTAAACAAGAGTTTACGTAGATAGCCACTCCTCCTCCTGCTCTATGTTCCCTGTCCCTGCGGAAGAGTTCCATGCCAGTAACATGCATCTCTTCGTCGGAGATGTCTGGCGAGAGCCAGGATTCGGTGATGAATATGATGTCGGAGTGCTGATGTGCACGCAGCGTCCTCATTTCTGCTACCTTCCCTCTTAGCCCCCTAACGTTGCTGTACATACATATTAGAGTGTGCCTGGTGAGGGGGAGGTCTGGTTGTGTATTTTCGCAGGATGACAGCTTATGTGGTTGGGTCTACCCTCGCCAGTCCTCATAGGACTGGCATTGTTCCGTTTTTTGGTGTTTTGTTATTAACTTGGGTGGGGGCTGTGGCAGTGGTAGCTTCTTTACTTGATGTATCTAACTCACTGGTCAGCGCCTGTGTGACGACCACTGACTCCAGGGTCTTGGTGGTTGTCGTCTCTCCTCTTGCCTTGTGGGTCTAGGCTTACTTTCACATATACGTATTGAGCCACCCATGCGATCCTTCGCATTATACCATGCCTGTAGAACGTCTGTGAGGGAGGCATATGAGTCGAACTGGACGGCGAGTAGTCTGGGATTGGGTATGGTCTTCAGGTGCGCTGGCCTTGGCAGTCTACTGACGCTGTTGGCCGGTATACTGTTGAGACCAACTTTGGTTGAGAGCCATTGCCATTGTTGGACGTCATGAAAGTACCGATCTTTGACCGAGCGGTCACTTGGCAATTCTGGAATCCCATGTACAACTATAGTGTTGTTTCTGTTGGGATTTCCAACCGCTGACTTTCTCTCCTCCTCTCTTATTGACCATGGCTTGTCAGGCCTGGCCCGAATTTTACAGGCATTAACAACGTCCGGTTGTCGCGAGAGGAGGAGTGTGTCTTCAGCCTCTTTGGTAGTATTTAGGGACACACGTAAAGGGGGTGGCTTATCTCGGGGTGCACGGCTTCCTCGAGAAAGGCGACATAAAGTTGCAGGGAGGGGAGGGAGTCCTAGCATCTGACAGTAGTCGGTCCACATTCGGCTGTCAAACCGTTCCCTCTCGACCAACAATGAGTCTGTCGATACATCGACGTTGAACAAAATGATCGAGTTGGTCCTCCTGTGACCTGGGTTCGTTGTGGGTGGCACGCTTGACTTCCCAATGGGTTTGAGTAATTCCACTGGTTGTTTCTCAGTCACGGTGTGTAGGTGTTTGGAATGGGTTTCGTAGAGGCTTTAGCGGTCGATGTCTTTGGCCATACGCTTGACGTCCCCTGGGGCCGGGTAGGAGGTATGGAGACTTGACCTAATATGGTCCCCACGCGAGGTGGCGTGCCGGCAGCTGGAGCTCTAGGTCTGTTTCCAGGTCTCTCTGTGTTATCTTTTGGTGTTAACCCTACTTTATTCGAGGGTGCTGGTAGCTTTTGCGTGGCGGAGAGCATCTCCTTCAGGCTTTCTGTGCGGAGTGCGGGCATTTTCCTGCACTCTGGACAGATGTACCAGAACCACTTGCATGGTTGTCTCTTCATCAGCTTATAGTATTGTCGGGGGACTTTGGTGTCGCAGTGGCAATGCGCCCATCGTTGACATAGGTTGCATGCAAATGCCTCATCGACTACCGAAACAACTTTGGTGCAAACACTGCAGCCATCGGGTGTCGTAATACAGCATTCCTTGCATGAATTAGGTGC